ATTTGATATTATAAAAAATAAAAAAACGGAAACATGTTCATTCATATCATAAAACATTTAGAATAGAATATTTGGATTCTCAAAAGTATTTAAATATGGATTTAGTGTACTTACTGTCCCTTTAGGGACTTAGCTCATTATTGCAACTCAGTCAAGAAAAAACTAAAACACATGTTAAGGCAGTTTAGTAGACCTCATTAGCTGTCACTAACAGTCTCAATTAAATAAACACGTCATTCATTACATTTCAACATCCACCTACAGCAGATTCATGTTATCAAGTTTTTGTCTCCCAACACCAAAAGTAGGCTATGATTTTGAACAGTATATTCTGGTCTTAGTATAATTTCACAACACATTGCTGTGCAATTCAAGTGTAGAAAGTCACAAAAATATTCAGTATTCAATGTTGAATAAAAACACCTAGAAATATTTGGATAAAACTGACTAATAAAATACTTTAATGTTAAATACTTTAATGACACATAGCTATGTACATTATGAAAATACTGTCAGTTCTGAAATTCAGAGTGTAAGAACGTCGTTCTCATGCACAGCTGTGCTGGGAGGAGGTCGTCGGGTAAGCTTGGCGTCGGGTAAGTACATAGCTTGGGCTTTGTCGAGTAAGGCTTAAACTATGTATTTAGATTGTAGGTAGGTATCGTGGGTTGTTGTGGGTAGTTATTGTATGTAATTATTGTAGGTTAGTATTGTATTCGGCGGTGCCGGGTGTAGCACGAAGCTAGCTAGCTAGCTAGCTAACTCACCACCTGGACGAGCTGGCGAGTAGCTATTAGCAACGGTATAGTTGTTTCATGCCTGAGAGTGCCTGTAATTACGCCAGCTGGCTGCCTACAATAATTACATACAATAACTGCCTACCATTCAGCTGTTTTCTAACCTCATTGTCTGAACCGTTAACGTTAGGTAGCAAGTGGCTACTGTGCTTGAAAATTAGCAAGCTTGTTGCAACCGGATAGCTACTTGTGTGCGGTTAGCGGTTGTCGGGAGAGGTTGTGTTTTCTAGCAGGAGGAAGCTTGGCTTCTTATTGTTTGAGTAAGCTTAAACCATGTATTAGATGTAGTAGGTTTGTAGTTAATTAGTAGTTTCTTAGTAATTTAGGTTATGTATTATGTAGTAATTTGTAGGTAAGTTTGTATTCGGCGGACCCGCGAGACGGGCTAGCTACCCACTAGGCCACAACTACTACGGGTAGCTACTGGTATTTTAGCACTTATTTTGTTCCATGTTATTCACGCTTATTGATAGCCGTAGTTTTCAGGAATTCGGTGTATCTGATGTACTGTTAACGTTAGGTGTTGGTAGCTGCTCTCTGTGTGTTCGTGCCGTGAGAGGAGGGGGTTCTTCTTTGTCTGAAAGCAATGGCTAGCTAGTTTGCTAACTATTCTAGCTAACTAACTGGCTGAATAAGTTGACGACGGACTCGCTCAAGCTGTCGGGACTAACCCACAACGTTAGACACGGACACAACGATCTGCTTCCGTGTTGATACACTGGTGGTTGTTGTGGCTGAGTATTGGCGCTAAACCCTGCTGTTGGAGACGTTTTTCACGGAATAATACTGCACCTAGTTAGCTAGCTGAATAAACTTGGTTAGTCTATTCCTAGAAAACATTGAACCGCTGTAGTTTACAACAATTATAGTTTCTGAGGTGGAAGTTGGGAGAGTTATATTTGGGAGTATGAGGGAGGCCCCGCTCTCTCCTTTCCCAGATGTTTAGTAAATTTTATTCCGATCTCCTCTGCATTATTGTAGCCATCTGCTGCAGCCTGTCAACTATGCCTCTGCCTATCCCTGTTCTCTCCTCTCCGCACAGGCTACACAAACGCCTCACACCGCGTGGCTGCTGCCTCTCTAACCTGGTGGTCCCTGCACGCACGACCCACGTGGAGTTCCAGGTCTCAGGCAGCCTCTGGAACTGCCGTTCTGCTGCCAACAAGGCAGACTTCATCCCAGCCTATGCTACCCTCCAGTCCCTCGACTTCTTGGCGCTGACGGAAACATGGATTACCACTGAAAACACTGCTACTCCTGCTGCTCTCTCCTCGTCTGACCATGTGTTCTCGCATACCCCGAGAGCATCCGGTCAGCGGGGTGGTGGCACAGGAATCCTAATCTCTCCCAAGTGGACATTCTCAATTTTTCCCCTGACCCATCTGTCTATCTCCTCATTTGAATTCCATGCTGTCACAGTCACTAGCCCATTTAAGCTTAATATCCTTGTCATCTATCGCCCTCCAGGTTCCCTTGGAGAGTTCATCAATGAGCTTGACGCCTTGATAAGTTCCTTTCCTGAGGATGGCTCACCCCTCACAGTTCTGGGGGATTTCAACCTCCCTACGTCTACATTTGACTCATTTCTCTCTGCCTCCTTCTTTCCACTCCTCTCCTCTTTTGACCTCACCCTCTCACCGTCCCCCCCTACTCACAAGGCAGGCAATACGCTTGACCTCATCTTTACTAGATACTGTTCTTCTACTAATCTCACTGCAGCTCCCCTCCAAGTCTCCGACCACTACTTTGTATCCTTTTCTCTCTCCCTCTCCTCCAACACTACTCACTCTGCCCCTACACAGATGGTAATGCGCCGTCGCAACCTTCGCTCTCTCTCTCCCGCTACTCTCTCCTCTTCCATCCTATCATCTCTTCCCTCTGCTCAATCCTTCTCCCTCCAATCTCCTGATTCTGCCTCCTCAACCCTCCTCTCCTCCCTTTGTGCATCCTTTGACTCTCTATGTCCCCTATCCTCCCGGCCGGCTCGGTCCTCCCCTCCAGCTCCGTGGCTTGATGACTCATTGCGAGCTCACAGAACAAAGCTCCGGGCAGCTGAGCGGAAATGGAAGAAAACTAGACTCCCTGCTGACCTGGCATCTTTTCACTCCCTCCTCTCTACATTTTCTTCATCTGTTTCTGCTGCTAAGGCCACTTTCTACCACTCTAAATTCCAAGCATCCGCCTCTAACCCTAGGAAGCTCTTTGCCACATTCTCCTCCCTGCTGAATCCCCCCCCCCCCCCCCCCCTCCTCCCTCTCTGTGGATGACTTCGTCAACCATTTTGAAAAGAAGGTTGACGACATCCGATCCTCGTTTGTTAACTCAAATGACACTGCTGGTCCTGCTCACACTGCCCTACCCTATGCTTTGACTTCTTTCTCCCCTCTCTCTCCAGATAAAATCTTGCGACTTGTGACGGCAGGCCGCCCAACAACCTGCCCGCTTGACCCTATCCCCTCCTCTCTTCTCCAGACCATCTCCGGTGACCTTCTCCCTTACCTCACCTCGCTGATCAACTCATCCTTGACCGCTGGCTATGTCCCTTCCGTCTTCAAGAGAGCGAGAGTTGCACCCCTTCTCAAAAAACCAACACTCGATCCCTCTGATGTCAACAACTACAGACCAGTATCCCTTCTTTCTTTTCTCTCCAAAACTATTGAGTGTGCCGTCTTTAGCCAACTCTCTTGCTATCTCCTTTAGAATGACCTTCTTGATCCAAACCAGTCAGGTTTCAAAACTGGCCATTCAACTGAGACTGCTCTTCTCTGTGTCACAGAGGCTCTCCGCACTGCTAAAGCTAACTCTCTCTCCTCTGCTCTTGTCCTTCTAGACCTGTCTGCTGCCTTTGATACTGTGAACCATCAGATCCTCCTCTCCACCCTCTCCGAGCTGGGCATCTCCGGCGCGGCTCACTCTTGGATTGCGTCCTACCTGACCGGTCGCTCCTACCAAGTGGCGTGGCGAGAAGCTGTCTCCGCACCACGTGCTCTCACCACTGGTGTCCCCCAGGGCTCAGTTCTAGGCCCTCTCCTATTCTCGCTATACACCAAGTCACTTGGCTCTGTCATATCCTCACATGGCCTCTCCTATCATTGCTACGCTGACGACACACAACTAATCTTCTCCTTTCCCCCTTCTGATAACCAGGTGGCGAATCGCATCTCTGCATGTCTGGCAGACATATCAGTATGGATGACGGATCACCACCTCAAGCTGAACCTCGGCAAAACGGAGCTGCTCTTCCTCCCGGGGAAGGACTGCCCGTTCCATGATCTCGCCATCACGGTTGACAACTCCGTTGTGTCCTCCTCCCAGAGTGCGAAGAGCCTTGGCGTGACCCTGGACAACACCTTGTCGTTCTCCGCTAACATCAAGGCGGTGACCCGATCCTGTAGGTTCATGCTCTACAACATTCGGAGAGTACGACCCTGCCTTACACAGGAAGCGGCACAGGTCCTAATCCAGGCACTTGTCATCTCCCGTCTGGATTACTGCAACTCGCTGTTGGCTGGGCTCCCTGCCTGTGCCATTAAACCCCTACAACTCATCCAGAATGCCACAGCCCGTCTGGTGTTCAACCTTCCCAAGTTCTCTCACGTCACCCCCGCTCCTCCGCACACTCCACTGGCTTCCAGTTGAAGCTCGCATCTGCTACAAGTCCATGGTGCTTGCCTACGGAGCTGTGAGGGGAACGGCACCTCCGTACCTTCAGGCTCTGATCAGTCCCTACACCCAAACGAGGGCACTGCGTTCATCCACCTCTGGCCTGCTGGCTCCCCTACCTCTGCGGAAGCATAGTTCCCGCTCAGCCCAGTCAAAACTGTTCGCTGCTCTGGCACCCCAATGGTGGAACAAGCTCCCTCACGACGCCAGGACAGCGGTGTCACTCACCACCTTCCGGAGACATTTGAAACCCCACCTCTTTAAGGAATACCTGGGATAGGATAAAGTAATCCTTCTAAACCCCCCCCCCCCCCCCCTTTACTCCACCCCCCCACAAAAAAAAAAAAACATTGTAAAGTGGTTATCCCACTGGCTATAAGGTGAATGCACCTATTTGTAAGTCGCTCTGGATAAGAGCGTCTGCTAAATGACGTAAATGTAAATGTAAATGTGCATGTCTGCTAAAATACCACTCTGATCAATAAAACCACTCTGATATATCACTATGTCAGTCAGAACTCTCCCTGACTCTTCACCTGACTAAAACTCCCATGACCCTCCCATGGTACTGCCAGGGTCATGGGTCAGCGGCTCTCTCATAACATGAGGTTTAAACAGGTAAAAGCTGCATGGGTTAGAAAGGCAGAGAGGGAAACTGAAATGTAAGCTGAAGAGAACATAACCTCATTTCTAAATGTATGTTTGTGTGTAGATGTACTGTTGCCCCAATGTCATACTGTAGGCAATAACACTAACATGAACAGAAAACGTACACATTTACAATTTAATTAAGCTCCAAGGCATATCAACAGTATGAATAACAAAGAGGCTGTATTATTATCTCACCTGTAGAGGATGGTGAGGAATAGCATTGCCTGTCCTCCTCTGAGCAGCCAGTGGGAATAGTGTGGGCGGAGCCACAGGTCAGCACTCTGCAGCAGGGTGTCCAAAGTGATCCCTGAGACAGAGAAAACAATTCCAAGATCTTCATAAATATAACTGATCTGAACTACTCCAACGTTATTTAATGCATGACTTCTGGATGAGTCTGTAACGTGCGATCAACATAAGTAAGTAACCTTGTGCGAGCCGGAACGGCTCATAGGAGCAGGAGCCTAGCCGCGTGAGGCAGCTTGATGTACAAGTACACCCCCTGGACAGGATGCTTGTCTATCGCAGGGCTGTACCCCCAATCTATCTCCTTAATGCTGTGGTGGCTCCAAGCAGAGACGCATCGGGTCCCATTTTTTGTCTTTTGGTATGAATCGAACTCCCAACCTTCCAATCCAAGGACCGACAAGGCCACTGAGTTGGTCTACATGACCGGGGGAATTATGGGGAGCATTTGTTTTTGTGGTAGGCCCACTGTACCTGTTAGCATGCTGCTGAAAAGCATGGCAGGGAAGTAGTGGTAGTAGTAGAGGATGTGGCCCATGGTGTAGAAGGGTACGTAGTGCAGCAGTCCTCCACCTTCCATCAGCATGCAACAATGCTCTGCACATACACATCAGTGTTAGAATCAAGTACTCAAAAGAGTTACTCATGGCAGTGACAGGAAAGTCCTAAATCCTCCTACCTGTTCTTCTCTTGTCCAGCTGGACTCCTCTGCGGAGGGCCAGAGAGGCCGCTGCCACCATAACCACATACAGGCCCGGACTGACCAGGTTCAGCCACCAGATCACCTGCAGAGGAGTTCCAGATGTAGCTATACTGTAGCAGTGTTATGTGTATTAGCATACTCAGTGAATGGAGAGAGGTACTTACAGGGTTCCCTAACAGGTAGACATGGTATTCAGTCTCATTCACTCCTGAGAACCTCAATCCCTTTACAGAACAAAGGCACAGTAATAAGTTAATATTTTTATGGGAATGTCACACCACACTGAACAAGTCATGGAGTATTCAACATGCGAACCTGGTAGTTGATTGGCCAGTGCTAGGGATTAGAGTTAATTTCATTGTTTTTGGGCTTCAACCCACTGTTACCCTGTAAAAATAGACATTTAGTCATAATTAATCCACTATCAATACACACACAAACAAAAAACACACATTTAGATGAATATTAGGCATTAAGTACACACACAACATCACATATCAAGCAGTGGGAACACAATTTTAAAAAACTGAAATGAAAGGAATGGAATGGAGGCTACATTTGCTATTGATGGGATCCTCAATATTCCATTGAGAGTTTGGGGTCTCCTTCAGATATGGGCTACACGTAACCTCCACCTGTTCCCAGCCCCTGAACAGAGAAGACACAGTTTGATACTGTCATCACCCGTAATGTTAATAACATTTGGAAAGACATAGGAGAGAACTTTAGAAGAGCCTAGATCACTCCTCCATTTCTTACCATTTGGGGAGAGTCTTGCCAGAGGAGTAGAGCACACAACCAGTTGCATGGTGCAGGTAGCGTACTTTGCTGCGTAACACCTTGACCAGGTCTCCTTTCCGACCTCCGCACGCCTCCACCTGCCACAAGTCATTAGGGTCACCTGTTCCAATATGAAAGCACCAGGACGGAATGATTCTGGTCAACATTTAGGCTGAAGGATGAAACCTCTCACACACTATTCATCAATAACATCTGAGAACTGTGCAAGTATTGTACGTGCTTACCATAGAGATCCTATTAAACTACTAGTTTTATTAGTATTATATTATATAGTATTCTAATTCCAAATTCTATGGTGCTTACTTACAATGCCATAACCTGTGACATGGAAGTGTTTCTTAGTGAGAGGTGCCTCGTGGAGGTTGGTTAAAGGTAGTCCTGGTGGACACAGGAGAATCAACCATTGCACTGAAGAATTTGTTTTAATGTCAACATGTGCAGTACAATGATTAGCTTGCTAACAGTTGAGGGTGTCACTGTCAAACCAGGAGGGTGACGCTTACTCTTTGTGCTCCTATCGAATAATGTCACCATAACGAACAAGGTCAGGTTCTCCTGATTGTGCTGGACAAAAATAAATCATAATACATACAAAACGTCTGTTGCAATTAAACCTATATGAGTGACATACAGTATTCTGACTACACAAAAAGGCTGTCCTCTCACCATCACTGTCATCAGGTCTCTGCACCAGCCACAGATTGTTATAGTCCTTGTGGAGGTAGGCTGAGACCTGCTGCTGCTTTGCTCCTACTCCCTCTGGGTAGAGATGCCAGTGAGAGTTGGGGTATCCTCCAGCGATACGCAGGTTCTTCACTGTGATGGTAGCCATATGCCAGGTCTGCAGGAGGAAGGAGAGCACAGACCATCATCAGAGTAGAGTAGAATAGAACAAGGACAGACCAGTATTATTTAAAGCCCTGAAGCTAGGGGTTACTTTAGGGCATTATTTGAATGTACGTCATTCAAACTGACAAGTGGAAATATACTGTAAAGCACTGTAACGACAGAAACTCAAAAAAGTGTAGAGGATTCTGTTGAAATCAACTCACTCTCAGGCATGGATGCATTGTGTAGGTTGTTTCCAATCAGACGGGACAGAAAAGCAGAGCTAAAGAAGCCATCTCCTGGACCATTGGAGACCGGGGACAGTGGAAACACATTGTGTAAATGTGATTACCGGTAGACATTATTTAGGGGGAGAAACAATTCAAATCTTTCCAATCACCACTATAACAAATGCACAGCCAACAATCAACTTACCCTTTGTTCAGGACAACAAAGTGGACTGCAAATATTGTAACATACAGGAGCAGGGGAAGCAGGATAAGCCCAAACACCCGGGACAACAAGTGCTTCCCAAAATCCATTTGGTAGAACGAGGGAAAGAGAGCAGAAGTCTGTGGTGGCCTCCAATGTAAGCAGTGCTTGACTTGGACTGAAATACTGTAGGTCCCTGTACTCATTTTGGGTGCAGGAGCTACACAATAATTTTGAGCTAATATTCTATAAGAGGAACAGGATCTCAAGCAGTAGAACATTTTAGGTGCCAGTACTCAGTTCCAGTGAGCTCCTGCCCAAGTCAAGCACTGAATGTAAGTCAGTGTAGGTACGTCAATATTATAGGAGATCAATAATCATTTCATGAGTATCAGAGTGAGGTAGAGGTCCCCCAACAAACTCCACAGGTCACAGGCTGTGTTCAGTCCCACCAGCAGGATGTAAAACAGACCCACAAACTTCACCCCCAGGGCCCCAGACAGGTTCACCCCTGTCAGTACCAGCCAGAACCACTAGGGTGCACTGAAGGGCCTAAACACCATAGGAGAGCGCATAGCAGCATCACTGTATATAGAAGAAGTTGGTCAACAACAAGTCTTTTCAATCTGATTCTAATAATTTGAATGACAATTCAGATGTATTTTTTTTTATTCTGGAGGTTCCTTACCTATATCTCTGTAGTTTGAACTTGACCATGCTGAGCAGTGCTCCCATTATAAAGAACATGAGGATGGGGTCGAGAAGGATGTACTGGGAGATGGTGATGCAGCCAGTGTCTGAATGGGGGGGAAATACCCGAGGTATTTAGATTATGGTGATCTAACGCGATACACATTTTTTACTTCACAGAGAATCCTGTAATAACACAGTTATAACATAAGAATGGTTGACCAGTCCATACTCAAGTCTGTTTGGCAAGGTAATTGTCTAAAGCAGAACCAGACTCTACCCCAGGCTGGTGGCTGATTTTTTTTTTTTTTACAACTGCGACCTGGCCAAGATAAAGCAAAGCAGTGTGATTAAAAACAACAACACAGAGTTACACATTGGGTAAACAAAACATAAAGTCAAAAATACAACAGAAAATATATATACAGTGTGTGCAAATGTAGCAAGTTATGGAGGTAAGGCAATAAATAGGCCATAGTGCAAAATAGTTACAATTTCGAATTAACACTGGAATGATAGATGTGCAAAAGATGATGTGCAAATAGAGATACTGGGGTTGCAAATTAGCAAAATAAATAACAATATGGGGATGAGGTAGTTGGGTGGGCTAATTTCAGAATGGCTGTGTACAGGTGCAGTGATCGGTAAGCTGCTCTGACAACTGATGCTTAAAGTTAGTGAGGGAGATAAGTGTCTCCAGCTTCAGAGATTTTTGCAGTTCGTTCCAGTCATTGGCAGCAGAGAAATGGAAGGAATGGCGGCCAAAGGAGGTGTTGGCTTTGGGGATGACCAGTGAGATATACCTGCTGGAGCGCAGACTACGGGTGGGTGTTGCTATGGTGACCAGTGAGCTAAGATAAGACAGGGATTTGCCTAGCAGTGATTTATAGATGACCTGCAGCCAGTGGGTTTGGCGACGAATATGTAGTGAGGGCCAGCCAACAAGAGCGTACAGGTCACAATGGTGGGTAGTATATGGGGCTTTGGTGACAAAACGGATGGCACTGTGATAGACTACATCCAATTTGCTGAGTAGAGTGTTGGAGGCTATTTTGTAAATGACATCGCCGAAGTCAAGAATCGGTAGGATAGTCAGTTTTACGAGGGCATGTTTGGCAGCATGAGTGAAGGAGGCTTTGTTGCGAAATAGGAAGCCAATTCTAGATCTAACTTTTGATTGGAGATGCTTAATGTGAGTCTGGAAGGAGAGTTTACAGTCTAACCAGACATCTAGGTATTTGTAGTTGTCCACATATTCTAGGTCAGACCCGCCGAGAGTAGTGATTCTAGTCGGGTGGGCGGGTGCAAGCAGCGTTCGGTTGAAGAGCATGCATTTAGTTTTACTAGTGTTTAAGAGCAGTTGGAGGCTACGGAAGGAGTGTTGTATGGCATTGAAGCTCGTTTGTTAACACAGTGTCCAATGAAGGGCCAGATGTATACAAAATGGTGTCGTCCGCATAGAGGTGGATCTGAGCGTCACCAGCAGCAAGAGCGACATCATTGATATACACAGAGAATAGAGTCTGCCCGAGAATTGAACCCTGTGGCACCCCCATAGAGACTGCCAGAGGTCCAGACAACAGGCCCTCCGATTTTACACATTGAACTCTATCTGAGAAGTAGTTGGTGAACCAGGCGAGGCAGTCATTTGAGAAACCAAGGCTATTTAGTCTGCCAATAAGAATGCAGTGGTTGACAGAGTCGAAAGCCTTGGCCAGGTCGATGAAGACGGCTGCGCAGTACTGTCTTTTATCGATCGCGGTTATAATATCGTTTAGGACCTTGAGCGTGGCTGAGGTGCACCCATGACCAGCTCGGAAACCGGATTGCATAGCGGAGAAGGTACGGTGGAATTCGAAATGGTCGGTGATCTGTTTGTTAACTTGCGGGGGGGGGGGGGGGGGCAAGTTGCAGCGGAGGGTGCAGAACTGGTGGCCGGGGTAGTGGTAGCCAGGTGGAAAGCATGGCCAGCCGTAGCAAAATGCTTGTTGAAATTCTTGATTATTGTAGATTTATCGGTGGTGACAGTGTTTCCTAGCCTCAGTGCAGTGGGCAGTTGGGAGGATGTGCTCTTATTCTCCATGGACTTTACAGTGTCCCAAAACGTTTTGGAGTTAGTGCTACAGGATGCACATTTCTGTTTTAAAAAGCTAGCCTTTGCTTTCCTAACTGATTGTGTATATTGGTTCCTGACTTCCCTGAGAAGTTGCATATCGCGGGGGCTGTTCGATGCTAATGCAGTACGCCACAGGATGTTTTTGTGCTGGTCAAGGGCAGTCAAGTCTGAGGAGAACCAGGGGCAATATCTGTTCTTAGTTCTGAATTTTTTGAATGGGGCATGCTTATTTAAGATTGAGAGGAAAGCACTTTTAAAGAACAACCAGGCATCCTCTACTGACGGAATGAGGTCAATATCCATCCAGGATACCCGGGCCAGGTCAATTAGAAAGGCCTGCTCGCATTGCCTCATCCTGTTGACAGTGATGAGGGGTGGTCGTTTGACCGCGGACCCATTACGGACTCAGGCAATGAGGCAGTGATCGCTGAGATCCTGGTTGAAGACAGCGGAGGTGTATTTAGAGGGTAAATTAGTCAGGATGATATCTATGAGGGTGCCCATGTTTACAGATTTAGGGTTGTACCTGGTAGGATCTTGATAATTTGTGTGAGATTGAGGGCATCTAGTTTAGATTGTAGGTTGGCCGGGGTGTTAAGCATAGCCCAGTTTAGGTCACCAAGCAGCAAACTCTGAGGATAGAAGGGGGCAATCAGTTCACATATGGTGTCCAGGGAACAGCTCGGGGCTGAGGGGGTTCTGTAGCAAGCGGCAACAATTCACCAAAGACCAGCACTGCAGCAAGTGATGAGGGCAGCTGTCGGGGACTGGGACAACTCCAGTACTGTGAGGTAGGCAAAGGGGGGCAGACAGGAGCCCAGAGCTGCAGCGAGGCAGAGCAAGTTCACAGGTCAAACTAGTACTGTGGGGCAAGACATTACTTACACAATATAAAAAACCATTCTATGTTTGTGTAGGCCTTACCCCTCTCATCCCCCAGTAGTTGTGGTGCTCATATTTGTCCCCAGGTTTAAGGAAAGGGTAGGTGCCATCGTAGCCTGTCATGTACCCTGCTAGCCCGATCAGCATCTGGCAGAGCGGGAAAAGCTGTCATCAAGGCAAAGGGTGGCTATTTGAATCTCAAATATAAAATATATTTTTATTGTTGAACACTTTTTTTGGTTACTACATGATTCCATGTGTAATTTTATAGTTTTGATGTCTTCACTATTATTCTACAATGTAGAAAATAGTAAAAAATAAAGAAAAACCCTTGAATGAGTAGGTGTTCTAAAACTTTTGACCGGTAGTGCACTAAGAATGTTGAGAATGAAAAAGGTAATGGCATTATCTTACTTTGCCAAGTGGTGGGTGGACATCAAAGAAGAAGGTTCTGTTGATATACAGTTGAAGTCGGACGTTTACATACACTTAGGTTGGAGTCATTAAAACTTGTTTTTCAACCACTCCACAAATTTCTTGTTAACAAACTATAGTTTTGGCAAGTCGGTTAGGACATCTACTTTGTGCATGACACAAGTAATTTTTCCAACAATTGTTTACAGACAGATTATTTCACTTATAATTCACTGTATCACAATTCCAGTGGGTCAGAAATTTACATACACTAAGTTGACTGTACAAACAGCTTGGAAAATTCCAGAAAATGATGTCATGGCATTAGAAGCTTCTGATAGGCTAATTGACATAATTTGAGTCAATTGGGGGTGTACCTGTGGATGTATTTCAAGGCCTACCTTCAAACTCAGTGCCTCTTTGCTTGACATCAAGGGAAAATCCAAAGAAATCAGCCAAGACCTCAGAAAAAAAATTGTAGACCTCCACAAGTCTGGTTCATCCTTGGGAGCAATTTCCAAACGCCTGAAGGTACTACGTTTATCTGTACAAACAATAGTACGCAAGTATAAACACCATGGGACCACGCAGCCGTTATACCGCTCAGGAAGGAGACGCGTTCTGTCTCCTAGAGATGAACGTACTTTGGTGCGAAAAGTGCAAATCAATCCCAGAACAACAGCAAAGGACCTTGTGAAGATGCTGGAGGAAACAGGTACAAAAGTATCTATGTCCACAGTAAAACGAGTTCTATATCGACATAACCTGAAAGGCCGCTCAGCAAGGAAGAAGCCACTGCTCCAAAACTGCCATAAAAAAGCCAGACTACGGTTTGCAACTGCACATGGGGACAAAGATCTTACTTTTTGGAGAAATGTCCTCTGGTCTGATGAAACAAAAATAGAACTGTTTGGCCATAATGACCATCGTTATGTTTGGAGGAAAAAGGGGGTCGCTTGCAAGCTGAAGAACACCATCCCAACCGTGAAGCACGGGGGTGGCAGCATCATGCTGTGGGGGTGCTTTGCTGCAGGAGGGACTGGTGCACTTCACAAAATAGATGGCATCATGAGGAAGGAAAATTATGTGGATATATTAAAGTAACATCTCAAGACATCAGTCAGGAAGTTAAAACTTGGTCGCAAATGGGTCTTCCAAATGGACAATGACCCTAAGCATACTTCCAAAGTTGTGGCAAAATGGCTTAAGGACAACAAAGTCAAGGTATTGGAGTGGCCATCACAAAGCCCTGACCTCAATCCTATAGAACATTTGTGGGCAGAACTGAAAAAGCGTGTGCGAGCAAGGAGGCCTACAAACCTGACTCAGTTACACCAGCTCTGTCAGGAGGAATGGGCCAAAATTCACCCAACTTATTGTGGGAAGCTTGTGGAAGGCTACATTTGACCCAAGTTAAACAATTTAAAGGCAATGCTACCAAATACGAATTGAGTGTATGTAAACTTCTGACCCACTGGGAATGTGATGAAATAAATAAAAGCTGAAATAAATCATTCTCTCTACTATTATTCTGACATTTCACATTCTTAAAATAAAGTGGTGATCCTAACTGACCTAAGACAGGGAATTTTTACTATTAAATGTCAGGAATTGTGAAAACACTGAGTTTAAAAGTATTTGGCTAAGGTGTATGTAAACTTCCGACTTCAACTGTAGTAGCGCTCCATTTTCCCAAAGTGGGTCTCATCCCAGCTAAAACCGACAGGATCACACAATGAGATTATACATATATACAAGGTGACTTCATGAGGGATCCTAACAATTTCTATCGGGGCACCATCACTCACCATACATTATTTTGTAAAGGCGTGTGGAAAAACACAGCAACACCACCAACAGAAAGTAACCGGTGCTTTGTGTCTCATTATTTGGAAAGTAGATGTCCTGGTCGTGTTGTGCTGATGTCTCATTTGAGGATTGTGCATCACCTTCTAAGTCTATCATCCTCTGTATTCTCCTCCTGAGTAACTCATGATTGGTTGAAACAGGGCTTTGCTCCCTTGTATTCTGTTAGCCTCTCCGATTTCGTAGCATTGAGGATTCGTCTTTGTGTTGTGCAACACATTCTTTCTTGGCCATTAGTTAAAACTGGAACAAAGTCCGTCAATTGGTATTATTTGAACCTGTTCAAAGAGAATTTAGGAAATAATAATTCTTATCAGTGGAATGTTTGTGACAGCCTGCTGCAACATAGCCAACAAAAGCAGCCCGACAAGTCTCCTGTTCCATTGTATGCTAACTAGGAACAATTATAGCATAAATGACAATGAATGTATCTCCTGTAATATTATCCTTACACACTAGTTAGCATTGTAGCAAGCGAGCTCGCAGCAGCAGCTATCAGACAGCTTTGTACCTATTCAAGGCATGTAAATCTAAGCAGTTCTTCTCATTCTCGTTTCACCCAATATTCCGTGTAGGTAATGCATTAAAAGCAGGACTTTGGAAACAAGCATTTCTCAAAATTAAACTCCTATCCTGGCATGCACTCCTCTCTGCGTTTGCGCTACACGGTGCACAGATTTAAAAGCATCTACCGGTATTATGGTCAATAAAAAAAGGAATTACCCGATGTGTTTCATGAAAGATCTGCAAAAAGTGCGCACCACGCACGCGCACAATTTAGTCGCTTCTCAACGCTCCAAATTTAGCCGCACAGCGCGTGGTTTCAGTGATATGTATGCTTTCCCATCCTTCACGAAAGGAATAGAATCGACCGATATGGACACAATTTCCCAGTATCCAACTGAAATTCAGGACTAGGCTGAGAACCTTGGGAAACGTTTTCACCTGATATTCCGCTGTGGTTGAGCGGTCCATGCTATCCGGAGTCCTTGGGACGTCCCTATCCCATTGAAGTTGACATTTAAAATGGTTAGGGGTAGGTAAGGGTTATAGTTTTAGTTAAGGTAAGGGTAGCAGTTAAGGTTAGGGTTTAGGGTAGGGACGTCCCAAGGATCTGTATGGCACTGACCATGGTTGAGCTGTACCATAAGGCCACTGGGTGGCATCAGAACACAAGAAATCACAGGCTCACACAACGGATGCTCACAACGCATACAATTCTCAATTTGAGCTGAAAGTACAGTATATTTGCATTATAAACATACAATTTTGAAATTATATTATTGTAGTTAAGTATATTATTGCGTAATGTGTGTAGCATATTCCACAATAGCTCAGCTGGTAGAGCACGGCGCTTGTAACGCCAATGTAGTGGGTTTCGATCCCCGGGACCACCCATACACAAAAAAAAAAAAAATGTATGCACGCATGACTGTAAGTCGCTTTGGATAAAAGCGTCTGCTAAATGGCATATTATATGTTCAAGTTTTATTTTGATGACTGATAGTAACTATAGTCTAGAGGTAAACAAAATGAATGAACATGATATTTTCATAGACCACAGCCTACACCACAACTTGTGGTTTACAAAGCCTTAAGTAATATCAAAATACATGTTCACAATTTGTATAATGTCAATGTAAGGCTTGTGAAGGAATTAATCACACAGTATAGAGTACAGACCTTAAACATATCTTTAAATGCAGGTCAAGGGCATCAGTCATTGAAAGAAGGCATCCTCCAAATATGTATAAGATAGGTGCTGGCAAGATCTCTCTAAATGGAAAGTTTGAGAACATGACCAATCAGCAATCATGTGTTTCTAGTGACTTGAATGCAAAGGACAATGTTTATTTTTAATTGGAAATGCTGAATGTGACCACTAAATTGATTGAAAAACGTCACTAGAATGACATGCTGATCTCAGTAAGATTATTTGAAAGGCAAAAAAGGTTGCGTTTTAATGGCACAACAGATAATGGTTGCATTTTAAAAGGCATTTGTCTTTGTATTGTACTTGAAAACAGTGCTGCCATTCCTAAAATTACATTTCAATGTCTGCTCCACAGGGCAGGATACATACACGTTCTCTGGTACAGTGTAAACCACTTCTCATACATAAAGATATGTCGATTTAAAAAAAAAAAACTGAAATATATATAAATCTACATATTGCTAAACTGTAATGCTGGATTTATTTTATTTTATTTTTTTTTGTCAAACAAAAATATTGGTTGCACTAAATGCATTATTAGAATGTAACAAAAAAATAATACATAGTACTAGATCTGTACAAAATATCCCAAACCTTTTCAACAAAGCCTTTACTCACCTTCAGAGATGCATCAATTGGAACGTTCTTACATGGGATCTGAAGTCAATTGTGAATGTGTGGTTGAATGTAAGTAAAATTAGCCACAGGACATTGTACATGTCTTCTACTCTGACTAGTGGGAGAGTGCTAGTGGACCCTATACACACACATGTTACATACAGGGCCTTGCAAAAGTATTCATCCCCCTTGGCATTTTTCCTATTTTGTTGCATTACAACCTGTAATTTAAATGGATGTTTATTTGGATTTCATGTAATGGACATACACAAAATAGTCCAAATTCTAAAGAATAAATAATGAAAAAGTGGTGCGTGCATATGTATTCACCCCCTTTGCTATGAAGCCCTTAAATAAGATCTGGTGCAACCAATTACCTTCAGAAGTCACATAATTAGTTAAATAAAGTCCACCTGTGTGCAATCTAAGTGTCACATGATCTCAGTATATATACACCTGTTCTGAAAGGCCCCAGAGTCTGCAACACCACTAAGCAAGGGGCACCACCAAGCAAGCGGCACCATGAAGACCAAGGAGCTCTCCAAACAGGTCAGGGACAAAATTGTGGAGAAGTACAGATCAGGGTTGGGTTATAAAAAAATATCCAAAACTTTGAACATCCCTCGGAGCACCATTAAATCCATTATCAAAAAATTGAAAGAATATGGCACCACAACAAACCTGCCAAGAGAGGGCCGCCCACCAAAACTCACGGACCAGGCAAGGAGGGCATTAATCAGAGAGGCAACAAAGAGACCAAAGATAACCCTGAAGGAGCTGCAAAGCACAGCAGAGATTGGAGTATCTGTCCATAGGACCACTTTAAGCCATACACTCCACAGAGCTGGGCTTTACGGAAGAGTGGCCAGAAAAAAAGCCATTGCTTAAAGAAAAAAATAAGCAAACACGTTTGGTGTTCGCCAAAAGGCATGAAGGGAGACTCCCCAAACATATGGAAGAAGGTACTCTGGTCAGATGAGACTAAAATTGAGCTTTTTGGCCATCAAGGAAAACGCTATGTCTGGCGCAAACCCAACACCTCTCATCACCCCGAGAACACCATCCCCACAGTGAAGCATGGTGGTGGCAGCATCATGCTGTGGGGATGTTTTTCATCGGCAGGGACTGGGAAACTGGTCAGAATTAAAGGAATGATGGATGGCACTAAATACAGGGAAATTCTTGAGGGAAACCTGTTTCAGTCTTCCAGAGATTTGAGACTGGGATGGAGGTTCACCTTGTAGCAGGACAATGACCCTAAGCATACTGCTAAAGCAACACTCGAGTGGTTTAAGGGGAAACATTTAAATGGCCTAGTCAAAGCCCAGACCTCAATCCAATTGAGAATCTGTGGTATGACTTAAAGATTGCTGCACACCAGCGGAACCCATCCAACTTGAAGGAGCTGGAGCAGTTTTGCCTTGAAGAATGGACCAAAATCCCAGTGGCTAGATAGATGTGCCAAGCTTATAGAGACATACCCCAAGAGACTTGCAGCTGTAATTGCTGCAAAAGGTGGCTCTACAAAGTATTGACTTTGGGGGGGTGAATAGTTATGCACGCTTAAGTTTTCTGTTTTTTTGTCTTACTTCATGTTTGTTTCACAAAAAATATTTATAATCTTCAAAGTGGTAGGCATGTGTAAATCAAATGATACAAACCCGCCCAAAATCCATTTTAATTCCAGGTTGTAAGGCAACAAAATAGGAAAAATGCCAAGGGGGGTGAATACTTTCGCAAGCCACTGTATCTATCATAGACCATCATATACATTTACAGTCTTTCCAAGCCCATACTCAATGCTGTCTTACAATGCTCCATACACAATGCTCTCTTTTTCTTCAGTATACCTTTGTACTGGTGACAGATCAAAGCAACATTGTAACAGCCTATGAAGATGGGCTAGACCTTGTTTGATCCCCGTTCTTGGTCGAGACTACCTTGCCACCAGATGAGCCTTTTTAGCTTGGAAGATGAGGACTGAGGACTGTTATGCAAATCCAAGTGTTTTTTTAAGACCCAGAGAAACACAGAAGACCAGTGGAAGGAGTGGTTGGTTCTTTTTCTAGGCCTCGCTGACCACAAAAGCATCCCAAATACAAGTTAAAAAGTGGTTTCAAAGTGACATTCCCTGTATAGCAATGTGATTATTATGTTACAATATGAATATAACATGTGGCATGCAATCAGCTTCCTCCAGGTTTCGTTATCCAACTTCAAAAACGATTCATACTGTTTCCCCTCATCATTAGTAAAGTCTATTGGTCTGACAAATAAGACAATATAAATCATATATGCCCTCTGAAATGGTTTTCATTGTAACTTTGCAGAGCCTTGTCATGTACATGAAATAAATAATCAACCAAAAAGACAAATGGAGGAGAAAAACAATGCAGAAAATATGTATGCATAGCAAACTGTCTGTGGTCACTGAATAAAAGGTCAGTCCTCATAAAATCCCTTTAAGGCAAAATGCAAATCTTAAGAAATAGGATATCACATGGAATACATTCACTGCATAGCTTCTGGTCCCCTGTGGAAATGTGAATGAGTATGTGTGTGGTAGAGAGAAAATATGAAAGAGCCAATGAGAGAATGGTATGTGTGTCGGTGTGTGTGTGTGTTTAGGGGACAAGCATGGACGTTTCAGCGTTCTTGATGGAGGTTTAGTGCCAGGCCCTGTGAGAGGGCGGGGATGAGGGTGGGGGTGGTGGTGGAGGGAGGAGAGAAGAACCTCCAACAGTTACACTCTCAGTTTCCTGCAACTCTCTCTCTGAGGCCAGACAATGGGACCTCTGGGATGCATTCATGGGGCTTGGCGGAGGCCTGGAAGCCAGGCAGGCAGGTGCACTTGTACGACCCCTCAGTGTTGTTACAGGCCCCATTCTTACACAGCGCCACTTTATCACTGATGTCCTCACACTCGTTTATGTCTGCAGGAAAAGGAGACACGCAGTGTTAAGAGAGGAGACCAATTTCACTGCAACTGCAGCTGTTCCCGCCACATGTCCTGTGTCAACAGTCCAGCGGAGTGGCCTGGTCAGTGTGGGTGGTAGGATGGGACCACAGTCAGGTACAGCAGTTCTCTGGCAACAGTGGGGCCTAGAGGGATGCCCGACTCTCAGTACTTAAGAAAACTACATTCATACGTATCACTTAAAGCACTTTTGTTCTCTCTTCTCACATTAACAATATCCCTGTTCACTCATTCCAACTCTCTGTCACACACCCATCTCTCTCTTTTTCTGTTTCTCTTTCTGATCCCCTGCCCCCTCACTGTATACATGTTATACAATTGTTTCTGAAAGGCAGCAGCACATCTTTACAGTAATCATTTACACAAATCAAGCATGGCGTCATATTGCGTGTTTGGGTTTGATAAGACATGAACTCTTCTCTGGCCATACATACAGTACATCAGACAAGTCAGATGTTTTTGCTTACATTAAAATGCCCTTTCATTGTTGGCCTTCAAGTGGTTTCTATTTCCTAATCTGGCATGGGAGGTTTGGTGTAATTTCTCTGCAGTTAAACTCAAACGACCCTCCTCTCTCTGTTTACGTCATTTCTGTGCGGGAAATGTTGGTGGTATTTATAACATGACACTTGGAAAGGGACGCTTCGCTCCCACAAGTATTTTCACAAATTAGAACCACAGAGTGGGAATCCACTCCATTCTCCCTGTGTTGGCCTTGGGGCTGATCATTCTCTATGGGGATAGAGTCCTGCACATCATTACGAGAGAAGTGTTTCACTTTCCAATTAAACAAACACGACACATTTAAAACGTGTAATATCCATGTATTACACGATGTGGCTGCGATTCAAGGCCTTGGCCTGTTGGCAGGGTGTGTCTATAAATTCTTCATTCTAAAGCAGGGTTTGATCCCCACAACATACATCATTTTCAAAAGTGGGAAAATGGAACAGATCAAAAGGTTTCCCTACATTGACTCATTTGTTTCTAGGAATTCCAAAAAGCAATGATATATTTACTTGGAACACAAACAGAGGAGAATCTGAGTCTGAATGTGGGTGATTCATTATGAGACACTGGGAGAGGAACCTACCGATGCAGGCCATTTTGGTGAGGTCAAGCTCGTATCCATCAAAGCAGTCACAGGTGTAACCTTCCCTCACACGCACACACTGGCCATTCTCACAGCCGTTCAGGATACCACACTCCTCTGCTCGCAGGCCTTCAAAGCCATCATAGCGGTCTGATTGCAAACAAAATATGAAATAATTAGGAGTCCCTACAGAGGTAGCATTTCACCATGCATTAGCAATAATATTAATAAATGTGTATTTTCTTATGATTTCTAATGAGATTATTACCATTGTTAGAGTCTACAGGGTGAGGCTGGAACTCTCTTGGCCGGTGGATGGGGACGCGTAGCGGCGGCTCTCTGTCTCTCACTCGTGAGCTGTAGTCGTTGGTATTGTCTGTAAACAGGGGGATGCCCTGGGTTTCCTCTGGATTGTAGTAGGTGCCCCCAGGCCCAGTGATGGGCCCTCCTCCATAGTTGTCCCAGTAGGGGGGGACATAGGGACCCTCGACCCCAGGGCCGTACTCATAGCCTGGCCTCTCTCGTAGACTGTCAGAGCCCCCACTCCTAGGCAGGTTACAAAGTAATGCGTAGTCATCTGATCCAACACACACACAAACACACAGGTCAGTGTTGCATTTAGACTGTCACAAGCCATCACAGGTCACACAAATGATTTCAGCTACATAATAACTGTATGAATGACAACTACATATGCAATATGTTACTTACCAGAGTCCCTACTGGGGCAGAAGTAACAGAGTCCACCCCAGGCCACTCCATAGAGACAGCAGCACTCTGTGTAGGTGGTCCTCCTTCCGACGAGGGGCTGGCTACACACATACAATTCTGCCATGGCCTGCCAGCAGATGTCCTCATCAGGCTCATAAGCCTCTGTGGTGGAGGAGAGAGGAGAAATGGAAGGAAGGAGGATGGGAGAAAGGAAGAGAGTGATTTACAAAAGAGGAAAGGATGGAGTTGGATGAGGTTTTACAAATTCTATGTTGTCAATGTTGAACAGATGAATCAATAATCTGGTTGGTAACTGTTTCATCTGGATAAACTCTGAGGAGGATGTAGCTTATCAGTTTCTGTAGAAGTGTGCTGCTGCTGTGTGAGAATGTGTGTGTGTGTGTGAGAATGTGTGTGTGTGTGTGTCTGAGTCTCACCCTCGGTGGTGTTGACGCTGATGCAGCGGCTGGTGTCCAGGACCAGAGGGGGAGTACAGAAGCAGTTGAAAGAACCAGGGGTATTCACACACACCCCACCCACACACGTCTTCTCTATCAGGCACTCATCATAATCTGGAACACACACACACACACATCAAATACTGGGTCTAATAGTTGAGATTTGGAGCAGGTTTGGTGGAACAGAGAAAAGGAGAGAGACAGCGAGTGGCCCTTACCCACACACTCCAGACGGATGTTGTCGTAGTAGAAGCCTGTACGGCAGAAGCAGGAGTACGAGGAGAAGATGTTAGAGCAACGGCCATTCTTACAGATATCTGGCCCAAACATCTTACACTCATCCACATCTGGTAAGAGAGAGAGGAGAGACCCAGACAAACAGAGAGAGAGAACAAGAGAGAGAGAGGGTTGAAGAATCGACACCTGTTAAAATAAATTCAGATACTACTATACACAAAATCACCTTTTCTTTCCTATTTCACCTCTAGAATCTGCCTTTGTGTAGGCCTAAGATCAGTGTCTATAGAATCTCACGAAAAGGTATGCATGTGCTGTAACTAGCTAGACCACTGAAATCCTGACCCCTACTGTAAAATGAGCATGGCACCTTGCTTGAGACAGCCTGCTCTATTAGAACATACTGTGGGTGCAACACTTGTGCTTAATTAGCTTGGTATGCAGGTATCCCGTCACGGTGTAAAGGGCTAGCTTTAAAGAGAACCATAAATGAGGTGGGAAATTACGCAGGACTTTTTTTAACAGCTGCTGTGGGTGGAAATAAAAGGGGAGCTGAAACTGCCATTTTCTTTGTGTTGGTACAAAGTTATGGGAGAAGGAAAAACTGTGAAACCTCAGGTATACCGACTGTAAACAGAAGCCAGTTGCTTGAGGCGGCAAAATGGGAGTAAAGTACCTTTGAAACTCTGCTGTTCCAGGCTGTGGGAGGAAACAGCTTGGGGCAGAAGACCACTACCATGTGGACACAACTGGTTATACTCCTCTGAAGAAACAAACAAGAATGAATGGACAAACATACTTTCTCCTTACTGTAATACTGTATCATACATAGTGTAGCGAGAAGGAGTAAGCATACAGTATGTGAATCTGTCTCTTGGGAATCTCACTCGGGATCAAATCATACTGTAGTAAGCCTACCTCTCCCAGGGACAGGGCAGGGGTGGATCTCACAGTCGTCCCCCCAGCCGGCCCCCACCGTGCAGCAGCACTCCTGCTTGGTGGTGTTACGAGACAGCACATTGTCACAGAAGTTAGCATCGTTCAGGTTGTAGTAACACTCCTTCCTCTGCTCCTCCGTGGGTGAGGCTGGCTTAGGAGGAGGAGGAGGAGGAGCATCTTCATCTGTAGCACCTGTAGGACAATCACACCACTCATGAGGAGAAATAGATAAGAGGGGAATAATTGGAGGGGATTTGCAGAATAAATTGTGACCCTAGTTGATTTACTACAATAAAGACTGTAGCCATTACCACTATAAATAATATTGGTATCAGTGAGAATCAGTCAGTCTATAGGCCCTATGTCTAACAGCATAATGAGTGCCACTATTTCCGCTGGTCAAGAGCTCCAAATCCTATAGTAGGGCAGGCAGACAGTAGGCCGGAGTACCTTCAGCTGCTCATTTATCCACAGACATGGTCTCAGGCATTCACAGTTAAGCAGCGGGCTTAGCCAAATGGAAACACTGGCATGTGAGTCAACACACCATTCATTCTGACATGATTGTTTAGCACACGTCAAAAGCAAAAAGTAGAATGTGGTCAAAGTACACAAGGCATACTTTAATACTGAACGAGAACAAAAACATCCCCATCGAGAGCATGCTGCTTATTAATGTAAATATGTCCCGTTTGTGTATACATGCCTATAACAAGCTAAAGACAAGCCAATGCCACAGACTCAAGGTAAGCTTGACCTTTCTTTCAGTAATCTGTTTACAGTGAACACTTAGTGTTTCTAAGAGAGATCTTTCCATGGCAGTTTTGCCAATAGCTATATATTATCCTTGTTTGTCTTTGGGGGGAATTTGACTGGGGGAGATTTGGCCATGAGAGAGAATTTGGAGTGAGTTGTGCTCTGAGCACAGCAAATCAATTCTGTAAAGGTAGCTGGAATAGTTTCTGCAATTTGTTCTTCGCGGATTTGAACTGTAATGCATTTAACCTATTAGGGGTACAACATAACTCTCCCCCCATCCAATAAGCATGGAGTCAAACTCAGCAGAGAGGTTGTGAAATAGAAACAGGTACTGTAGGGAACATGGAACCACTCTTGCCCTAATAATTCCCCAGATGTGAAGACAGTGAAAATTCAATCCCTCAGCGACAGGACGAACCCATAAGTCCCATAAGCCCCTGTGTGTGGTGTGTTACCCTGCGGGCGACATTGGCTGGTGATGGGATCAAATTCATAATTGTCGCTGGGGCAGATGCACAGGAAGCTGCCATCCACGTTCTCACACAGGGCCTCTCCACACAGCGCCGCGCTCATCTCACACTCGTTCACATCTGCACGGAAAAGGAGAGGGGGGTAAAAGGCACACCAAGGTTCACACACAGATGCAAAGCATGTACACATGCACACACACAAGTGTGCGTACAAACAAACACACACACATACTCAAACACACATTCCACCATGTACAATACAGTATGTACTGCACATTGGTACTGTATACAGTAACTGACCATGCTAACCAGTGGAGTGTATCATTTAACAGTTACTTACCCACACAGCTATGGGCACCAGATTCACCAGGGGGGTTGGTGTAACCCCGGTCACACTGACAACGGTAGGAGCCGTCTGTGTTCTCACAGAAGCCATGGTCCCCACAGATGTTCTCATTCACACACTCATCGATATCTAAACAAGAGGGCACCCAAAGGTGAGCATAGAATAACACATTCCAATGTTTCTCTGCTACATGTGTATAACTGTACCATTTCACGACTGGCTTGCTAATGAGCATGTGTTGCAATACTAAAATAAATACTACTACTGCTACAACTTACAATAACAATAGCAATCACCATCATCATAACATGTCAAACTGAGAAAATGAATACAGGGAGAGAATGGGATAGTTTACAGCTTCGTGGGGACACAGACCATTTGATTGAATCCATTCTGCTGACTCCGATGGCTATCAATGAGCCCAGTGAAAGGTCTGTAAGGGCTGCCTCAGCATGGCTACATTGTGTTAAAGTAGAGCCAGCATATGGAAGCCTCAGGATTTAAGGGTCCTCTGCTGGGGTCTATGGAGTGAGAAGTGACCTGTTGCTCACTTTCTGGCCGAGTGAGGTCTTGGATTATGTAACAACATGGAACTGATTTGCAGACATGGAGGGGCCTGCACATCCACATAAGCCACTTCAGAGACATTTTGTCAAAACGGCTACGGGTAACTAGGATTTTCATAATGCTTGAATGAATGCACATTTCCTGCAACAACTCTGACGGGCCCGAATTGTTCCCTACATTTTCCCTATTTTAACTTGACATCTTACTTTTGTAATTCCAAAAATGTGTCCCATGCAAAAAATCTAAACTGGGGAGCTGATCTGGACTAATTGAGAAGATTTTCTGCGTGCAAAAGGACAGAGAGGACCAGACCTGGCAACCATGTGCAGCCATAGATCATAAAGCATGTTTAATGAAGCCAGGGGAAAGACCTTGTTATGTGTACATTGAATGTGTGAGTAGAGGAAAGCATGGACCTTAGAGCTGTTAACACTGGACCATATAACACTAGTGCTGATTCCCAACCACCCTCTGTTTAAAGGGAACATTTGTTTGCAATTTCTCACATACATAATTTTGTATTTCTTGGCGTACGGTGCACAGTGCAGAGGCCAAAGACAGTTACTCTTAGAAAGCCCAGACTGCACAAGCAGGTTAACATTGACCAATGGTTTGATCACACTTCAGTCATTCTATGGTTTTCCCTGGTCAATCACATGAACCATTGGTCAATGTTAACCTGCTTGTGCACTGGCCACGTTCCAAGTCACCAGGTTGTGACACACAACCATTATGTTCCTAAACACTTTTCTATGTTATCACGTGCTTCCCCTAGAGCAGGGAGCAGGGTTTCCCAAACTTGGTCCTGCCCCCCCAGGGTGAACGTTTTGTTTTTTATCCTAGCACTACACAGCTGATTTCAAATAACCAACTCATCATCAAGCATTGCTTATTTGAATCAGCTGTGTAGTGCTATGGCAAAAACCAAAACTTGTACCCAGGGGAAGCCCCAGCACAGAGTTTGGGAAACCCTGCCCTAGAGATCACAGAAAGGTAAAATGCACACAAAAGCCACATTCAGATTATTATTTTATTTTTTATTTTTTTGTTTGGAAGGGCACCTTTGTTGAGGAATTTGAGGGACGTTTGCCAAGTCATCCTTTGTTAGAGACCCGTGCTGTGTGTGTTATTTTCTAATTAGAATAAAATCGCCTGACTCAGCAAAAGCTAATCGTTTACAGGGCATTTACAGTAGTGGGGAAATGGAGGAGTGTCTGGTACTGTATTCTTTTCTCTAAATGTCACAGTTATGGGCATGAAATAATGACAGGTACAGTAGATAGTAAAGTATACATCAACTTCAGGGCATATAATTAGTAGCCCTGCATGTCTTATGAAACATGCTAACACATCTTTCGGGAGCAAATGGAAATACAGTGGATACATAAAAGTCAGCAGATTTGTAGAGGAAAAAAATAAATGACATTCACATATTGTCTATCCGATTTTTATTCTGTCTCCGAGCTCTCGTAAATGCTGCATCATTCAAGGAATGAGGAGAGTCAGCCAGAACGACCGCATGAAGTAACCCATTCAGCAGGGACGGAGAGGGCTTGGGCCCTGCCATACTATTATATTACAGATGCAGTTGTAGCTCAGTTGGTGGATCATGGCGCTTGCAACGCCAGGGTTGTGGGTTCGATTCCCACGGGGGGCCAGTATGAAAAATGTATGCACTCACTAACTGTCGCTCTGGATAAGATAGTCTGCTAAATGACTAAAATGTAAATGTCAATGAGTGCATTCTGGGAGGCCTGACCCACTGTCCAGAGGGCAGGGAGAGAGGCAAAGCCATCCAGAAGATGGTGCTAATAGTGATGTCAGCCAAATGGCTCTGACATGACGAAGACAAAAGTTGACATGGGGACCACCAAAATCTAAACTTTGTGTTTACAAACATAGTAGAGGGGGCAATTATCAAAAACATTGAGCTGTTTCTCCATTAAAATGTTTACTTTTGGACTTTGAGGCCTTGCTACAGACATGTAGTAAGATGAGGTGTATACTGTAACACTGTGAAGAACATTTTGGCATGTGTGAAAAACCTAAGTGGGGCTTTGGACGGTCAGTGTGAGTAAAGCAGCCAGCTGGGAGGTCTCTCAGGAAGGTCACCTAAGCTCTCAGCTGCTACATGAAATAATCAGTGTCTGCTCAGAGGTTTTCATCCATCTGAAACATGGAAACAATGTTCCCGTTTCCACATGTAGTGGCGTGCGTGATGCTATCAAATCATCATCTTGGGGAGCAAGGGGAATGTCGAGGCCAAATTTATTTAATGGTCTTTCCATGGCCATGTCCTTGACTGGGATGCTTCGAAACCCTGGGACTAACAGCCTTACAAAACTCTCTAATTAAGACTGACTGTCCAGCCAGAGTGTGAGCTTGTTAATAAAAGACCTGTGGCTATGTTCTAATAATACAGGCTAGCTGGGGCCATCTTCTCCATTACACTCCGGCCCTGTATGCCTTATTAAAGACAAGCCATAGCCACACAAAATTGATAGCCACAATGCCGAACTGCAGCTGGAAACAAAGGATAAAAATGAGATGCATGTTTCTTTTCCAACGCAAACACATTGAAAAACACACACTGCTTTTCTCATACAGCACTCACCAGTACTTGAAAAAGTAATCTATCTATCTATCTATCTATATACAGTGCATTCGGAAAGTATTCAGACCCCTTGACTTTTTCCAAATGTTGTTACGTTACAGCCTCATTCAATCTACACACAATAACCCATAATGACGAAGCAAAAACAGGTTTGTAGAGATTTTTGCACATTTATTAAAAATCAAATAAGTATTCAGACCCTTTACTCAAGTGAACCTTCACCCCAGTCTGAGGTCCTGAGTGCTCTGGAGCAGGTGTTCATCAAGGATCTCTCTGTACTTTGCTCCCTCGATCCTGACTAGTCTCCCAGTCGCTGCCGCTGAAAAACATCCCCAAAGCAGGATGCTGCCACCACCATGCTTCACCGTAGGGATGATGCCAGGTTTCCTCCAGACGTGACACTTGGCATTCAGGCCAAAGAGTTCAATCTTGGTTTCATCAGACCAGAGAATCTTGTTTCTCATGGTCTGAGAGTCCTTTAGGTGCCTTTTGGCAAGAAACTGAAGATCTCGTACAACGCTGTGTACTACTCCCTTCACAGAACAGTGCAAACTGGCTCTAACCAGAATAGAAAGAGGAGTGGGAAGCCCCGGTGCACAACTGAGCAAGAGTGTCTAGTTTGAGAAACAGACGCCTCACAGGTCCCCAAATGGCAGCTTCATTAAATAGTACCCACAAAACACCAGTCTCAACATCAACAGTGAAGAGGCGACTCCGGGATGCTGACCTAGGCAGAGTTGCAAAGAAAAAGTCCAGTGTCTGTGTTATTTTGCCCAACTTAATCTTTTCTTTTTATTGGCCAGTCTGAGATATGGCTTTTTCTTTGCAACTCTGCCTAGGCCAGCATCCCGAGACTTGCTTGTGCCAAGAAACACGAGCAATGGACATTAGACCGGTGGAAAATCTGTCCTTTGGTCTGGAGTCCAAATTGGAGATTTTTGGAGGTGCTTTGCTGGTGACACGGTCTACGATTTATTTAGAATTCAAGGCACACTTAACCAGCATGGCTACCACAGCGATACACCATCCCATCTGGTTTGGGCCTAGTGGGACTATCATTTGTTTTTCAACAGGACAATGACCCAACACACCTCCAGGCTGTGTAAGGGCTATTTTACCAAGAAGGAGAGTGATGGAATGCTGCATCAGATGACCTAGCCTCCACAATCACCCGATCTCTAACCAATTGAGATGGTTTGGGATGAGTTGGACCTCAGAGTGAAGGAAAAGCAGCCAACAAGCGACTTACAGTTAGTGAGTGCATATATTTTTCATACTGGCCCCCCGTGGGAATCAAACCCACAACCCTGGCGTTGCAAGCGCCATGCTCTACCAACTGAGCTACAGGAGGCATATGTGGGAACTCCTTCAAGACTGTTGGAAATGCATTCCAGGTGAAGATGGTTGAGAGAATGCTAAGAGTGTGTAAAGCTGTCATCAAGGCAAAGGGAGGCTACTTTGAAGAATCTAAAATCTAAAATATATTTAGATTTGTTTAACACTTTTTTGGTTACTACATGATTCCATATGTGTTATTTCATAGTTTTGATGGTTTCACTATTATTCTATAAGGTAGAAAATAGTAAAAATAAAGAAAAACCATTGAATGAATAGGTGTGTCCAAACTTTTGACTGGTACTGTATATAGATAGAGATTACTCGTTACATTTAACAAAAGTAACATGTTACTTTCCACACAAAATAATATTGTAAAGTAACGCGTTATATTACTTTGCATTACTTTCATAAAATAAAAATAAAAAATAAAAAGACTGTCGGAGGGAGCAAGGTGAGCCGCGCGCGCTCTACCAAAAATAGGTTACTTACTCAGGTTTGATCACTAGTTTCTCCTTTCATCTGTGGCGCTGCTTTCCTGTTCTAGTCTACAAGTGCTGTACTATATATGGGCTCCTTAATTAGCCATATATACTATAAGCCAAACATCTGTCTTATCATTCAAAATCTTTCTCTCGAGCCGCCAGTTCTGGTTATAAATCGCACGTACACGGACCCATAGAGAGGGCTTTCCCGTCTAGTGGCAAGTGTGCCCTCTAGACATCTCTATGCGTCCGTGTACGTGCGATCTATAACCAGAACGGGCGCCTCGAGAGAAAGATTTTGAATGATAAGACAGGGCTTTGCTAACACAGAAGCGATCAATGGCAAAGATCAGAGGTGCGCCCTCTATACATTTCTATGGACAGCAGCTGTCATGACTAGGGCTGTGGTGGTCATTACGTTTTGTCAGCCGGTGATTGTCAAGCAAATAACTGCCGGTCTCACGGTAATTGACCGTTAATTAACAAACACATTTAGCATCTCCTGGCTTCCACGCATAGCCTACAAGCCACTGATGCAGACCTTTGGAACATCTACATTTAAAAACTCGAATAAATCAATTTATTATAGCCTACACCATCACAATAAATCCATTATTCATTTTAGACAGGTCTAAAGAAACATGATATGTAGTCTATTTCAGAAGACAGAATAGCATACTCTGAATTGTCCTTATGTTAGGCCCTGATCTGGCTATGCCATATGGCTGTGGGCTACACTAGTTCATTTGGCAGACAAGATTTGCTTAGAATTCCATGGCATTATTTTATATATTTTTTTTATAGCATGAAGAATACAATTGAACATAGCTGAATAAAATAGAAAGGATATTTTCTCCAAATGATTTCCGAGGGATTGACCACATGCAGCTATTTTGTGTTGAGCGGTTAACAAAGAAACAGGTCCTCCTATATGCTTAATTTAGAGTTATTTATGCAACTTTAGTTGTGATACAAAAGTTGGGCTATATGTTTAGATTTGTTATATTTTTTAAGGCTGCATGATGCGACTCTAAAGGCATGAGCTCTGCTTTGTTTTTTGTGCAGGCTGCACACATTTCATCAGTCTCTCATTCCCAATTTGACAAGCACTTGATAATATTCTCACCAGGCCTCGGATTTCCCGGCGGCATCCCCCTTGTGTGGCCACATGGCTCTCTCAGATATCTCAATTCTGATCGGGTTCTTCTCATAGGCATCTCAGCTCCAAAGTAGGCTACAAATGAAGACAGACAAATCGGGGATGCAACTGCGCGCGTCCCTCTTATCGAATTCCGAGGCGCATATTGATGTTAGAAGAACTGTCCACATTTACTTTTTGTCAGCCAACAAGATGAGTAGGCCTAACGAACAGAAAAAGCACTAGCCTTTGTGAATCTACTATCCCCCATAGTACAAAAGGTGACCTATTCTATTGGTCAACTTGTCCTTCTGTGCGAGAAATAAATATTCCAAACATACTTTGGGATAGTTGTGGGATGCGATAGATCCCAAATTAATACAACCACTAGCATCAAAAAACCTTTTAAAAGCAATGAAGCTGATGCGACAGATAAGAATGTTTAAGTTTAAAATGTTGATAAACTATTAGGCTATTTCTTCACATTATAAGCGCAGCAATGTGCACACGGCAGTAGGCTATAAGCGTGAATGTTCCAAATGCAATCAATTAGCGGGAAAACACTTCTCAAAAGTGACCCCAAATGCGATTATGCATGTAAAGCTTTATTATAAAGGTATATTTTTATGGTGAAAATGATCTTCCCCAAACTTGAAACTCACGCGCTGCCTATGTATGCCAGTTAGGCAACCTTATCAAAACATATAGGCCTATGGGCTAGGCTACATGAGGTGTGCGACTATGATTCGAAAAAGTCGCAAAAAAAGGCAATGTTTCTTATGCTGGGCATCATTCAGAAGTAATAATGTATAATTCACAAGTGATAACACATCATTCACAAGTGATAATACATCATTCACAAGTGATAATACATCATTCACAAGTGATAGGCTAATATTTTCACCACCAGACTATTCTTAATTTAATCTTGTCTTTACATATACTAAATAATATATGTGTGAAATTAGTTTTGATTTAGAATGGACCATTATCATGCACCTGTCTGGAAACAGGGGCAGGAATACATGTGTTTATATCATCCATTCACTTAAATGGAGGACTCTTTTCCCATGGTTCATTTTCATGCCAGCCAGGTAGGCTATACTCCTGTTGTAAAGCAAAGCAATGTGCTTAATATTAGGAAAGTTGAGAAATAAATATAGTAGGCCTAGCCTATAGAAAGCTGATGGGATCCTCCTCTTTTCTCACACAATTGCATAGCCTATACAAATGTTGTGCAACATGAGCTCATGGGCTCTCATGAAGTGTTTGATTTTTTTAGATTACATTTGCATTGATGTCAGAGTGATTAAAGGGGACAATAGAGTGCTGAGTACCAGGCAGTTGGCAAGTTTGGTAGGCTACTAATGACCATCAGCAGCATCAGAGCATGAAGAAGCATAGTTACCATGACTAAACGGTCATGTGGATTTTGACTGCGGTCATGACTCGTGACCGCTGGCGTGGCGGTAACATGGTCACCATAACAGCCCTAGTCATGACATTTCTCTAAACAGCCTTTCTCTGCTCGCTCGATAACTAAATGAGGAAACAAGTCGAGATCGGATCATGGAAACACGCGCCCAGTAGAGATATAATTCTGAAAGTAACGCAAACATTGTTTGACAAAGTAACTGTAATAGTATTACCCAATTTGAAAAAGTACCGCGTTACTTTACTTTGTTACTTATAAAAGTAATCTGATTACGTAACGCATTACTTTCGTCACTCTATAGGCTGTCATAGCAGGGCTGAGTGAACAACTTCAATGGACGGAGGTAGAGCGTAGTTGCAGCTGAAGCTCTGCTGAGGAGAACGTCAGTTTTCCCATTTTGTATTATGGCCACAAAATGAGTATGGTGAGCAGAGCCAAAGACAACCACCGCCTCATCGGAGGCCCGCGAGTAAAAATAAATCAACGCCCCTCAGAGAAATGGCAAATTACAGTGTATGGCCTTCTTAAATATTGGATGATTTTTACAAGCAGACAAAAATGTCTAGGAGTAATTGAGCTCCCTCCCCAGACGTTTTATTGGGGGGACGGCAACATCTCCCATAACCTCCCATAATGCCCTGGAACAAGTGGCCTTTGTGCAAGATGCTGAGCTGTGGGGGGCGAGAAAGAGGCAAGAGGGCTTGGTCCTCAGATCCCACAGCCCAGGCTGAGGAAGCGGAGGCCAGGGGCTGGAGGGGAGGAGAAGCTCTGCGGTCAATGTCTGTGATGCGTTGTGTGGATGTACTGTATGTATGTCCCATGGAGATGCAGGGGAGCCTGGAGGAGAGGAGGGAAGGCTGGCGTCAGAACAGAGGTGAAGAGATAGTGGGTCAGAGATGGCCACAGCTGGCTGCATCACTGGACTGGACCAGAGAGGCTGGAGCTGTTACAATGCTCTGGGGTATTATGACTTGGTCTTGGGCTGTTGAGTTTTAACAGGCTCAGCCTAAACTGTGGATTATGATCCACAATGTGTCATCTCAATGGTCAAGCTGCTGTGGAAAAACCTTGTTGGTGGTTAGATAAGTAAGAGGAGACAGTTACACAACAACATGGCTACCCAACGGAGCAGCCTGTTTGGAAGCCATTTTGATATGAGCAAATACTTGGCCTGTATGTTTTTGCTCAATGTCAGATATGCCTCTTATAAAACCGACTTGATTCATGTTTTACGGTAACTGAGAAGTTTACCAGCAGAGGGGAACAGCACCAGCCACCACCTATACAAACTGCTTCGAAAACGGGCGTGCACCAGCACTAATCAAACACTCTTCTGAATATAGTAAAATTATGTTCATCTCTCATGGACACACACATACACAGACTGATGGTCTGTCTTTGCCAGTAAACACATAGGGTCTTGTTTTTAGTTGTCATGGAGACAGGGCTGTTTTGTTGTTGTTGGACAGATGTTAGACCCAGATGTGTCGGTCGTCTCTACACCTCCCAGGCCAGATCAGGTGACCACCCGACCGGGTGTCTAAGTTGCAGTGGCCTGAGGAGGGCGAGGGCTGGCTGGGAGGGGTGGGGCGCACCGTACGTCCCATCAGATGACAGCCCTGCCCCACTTAGAGAGGAGAAGAGCTGGGATCAGGTTACACCCATCGCCCTTGCCAAAAAAACTCTATTAGCCCCATTGTCTGGAGGATGAGACCTGGCCCTATTATCATCCGGCCTCAAACACCGCCTTGGATGATACCGCTGCTCCCTTTCTAAAGTGGCCCAATTTCAGGGCCCATTTCACCTCTCTTTGCTCCCCTGGCCAAGAAGGCCCAGTGCACCTGATTAGCGTTTGATAGATGAGCCTCTGTGTGTGCGTGCCAGAGTGATATTAGTATCTCTGTAGGGTGGGGGTGGGCTGAGGGGCCATCGAGACAATGCAGAGCGTTTCTTTCAGAAAACTGCCCAAGGTGAATGACCAGTAAGGCTGATATTCAAGTGCCTTCAGCTGTCCACCAAGTAAGTACATTGCCTGTTGACTAAGCACAGAGCCTGTTATCCACTCTGACTTACCACAGTCTGGGTTGTCCTCTCCATACAGGCCAGGCTGGCACCCCATGAAGCAGCGGTACGAGCCAATGGTGTTCTCACAGAGCCAGGAGCCACACACCGAGCTACCATACTCCTTACACTCATTCTGATCTGTGGAGAGAAAGAGATGTTCTAATGTCATACACACATCAATCCTATTCTTCACCCTTCACAGCAGCATGGATCTCCAGCTTGAGTAGGCCAGACCAGTAGACCTGAGATATACATGTGCTTATATCATACATGCACACACTCACTCTGTAGCTCAGCTGGTAGAGCACGGCGCTTGTAACGCCAGGGTAGTGGGTTCGATCCCCGGGACCAACCATACGTAAAAATGTATGCACACATGACTGTAAGTCGCTTTGGATAAAAGCATCTGCTAAATGGCTTATTATTATTTATTATATTATTAATCACCAATCCCATTCCCCCTCCATTCCTCACAGTACAATGTCTCCCCAGCATGAGTAGGCACAGCCAGGAGGCCTGTGGTGCTGCTGTCCTCAGTGCTCAGCAGCAGAAACTGGGCATGGCCAAGAACAATATTTTCACAGGAACTGAAGAACTTGTGAAGGAGCAAAGGGAGATGTTCCAGAGGGAGAAACACCTCCATCCCACAATGGGGTAATTCATACTCCCCAAGGGGAGATGAGGAGCAGGGCTCCAGTCACAGGGAGCTCCCTTACGCAAGACTACAGCTACAGCCAGAGGAAAGCCTCTGAGCCATAGTTGGACTCTCTCACTGAGGGAATGTCACCATTGACACTGCACTGACTACAGCTACATAATCAATCATAAAAAAAAAAACTTTCACACACAGGGCGGACTCTGGTCTAAATGGACCGGAACGTTTTATTAACTCTGCTGAGTTTCAGCTGGGGCAGAAGCAGTGGATTGTGGGTAGAGTGAAGGGGTTATGAATTTGGTAGAGTGTTCTTACCCTCACAGTCAGCTGTGTCTGCAGAGTACTTGAAGCCAGCCTCACACAGGCAGAGGTAGGAGCCATCTGTGTTGAGACACTGACCATGGGAGCACACGCCGTCCTTACTGCACTCAACATCTGGAGGGAGAGAGGAGGAGGAGGAGAGGGGGGAGAGAAAGACAGAGACAGACACAGAGAGAGAGAGAGAAATTGAGATAAGAAGAGAGGAAAGTGTGAAAGAAAGTGTTCTTTGTTTATGATAGTCATGAAGTATTCTCTTCTTTGGTATAATATGAATCAGTCAGCCACCGAGAATCTCATTCTCTCTTAACATGAAGAAAATAATGCATGTGTGCAATCAAGGGCTTGTCTGAGCGTAAGATACATTGCCCATTTGGAACACTTTACGGTACTGGCAAACAGAAAATATGAAAAAAGTATGTACCCTAGCTATAGGTCTGGGAACATTCCCTCCGACTAGTAAAAAATGTATAATGATGGCTGTATGCTTGATTAAATGTAGATTGGTGTAATTGCCACATTACATCATAACTTAAAAGGTATTTGGACTGAATAGCCTAATAAGTGGGGGCAAGGCAGAAAAGCAACAAAAATTGAACATCTTCTTTTGCCATGGCTGATAATGAGACAAATCTCTCATTGTAGACAGTAAACACATGTATGGAGGTAAAGGGAACAAAACTGTCTGAAAACAGCATGGGTAAGCACCCACATTTATCTTCCGGTTTAATAGCCATGTGATTCGATAACAAACATTTAAAGCAATGATTTATCTCAAACAGAGCTGCATGGCAGGTTATACTCGATTGATTAGTAGTTAATCTTTATGATTGACTGATGTTAGTCCACTATCCATGGTTGAGCCTCAGACAGTACCAGTACTCATAGCCCTGTAAGCAGCCAGCCATCCAGCTAGTCCACCTGTGTTCCAACCAGAGGGCTAACCACTCTGGGCTCACCTGACCCTCTCCTTCCCATGCACCCCCTCTCCTCTCCCTGCAGGGCCCATGGCAGAGAGGCCTGGCTTTCATTGTGTCAGCGCTGCACACACAATGGCAGACAGCATGAAAATATTCCCAGCCTCTGATTTAAAGGTTAATTAAAGGACTATATTTGCTGTGGCAGAGGGCCAGGGTTGGGCCTGCCTTGCTCACTGTTGTGGATGCTGTGTGGTGCTACAGTACATGGCCACAGCCCAGTGGAGTGAAGGGAAAGTCCAGCCATCAGCACTAGGCACTGGGGAGGTGCTGCCTAGCCTGCTGTTACGCATGGCCTAGAAGAGGTCCAGTCCCCTCGCACCATGGGACCCTCACCCACTATAACCCCCTCCAGGATCTTCCACCTCCAGAGAGTGGCCCTGCTCCATGCTTCACATCACTCCACAGCGATAACATGCTCAGTGTACTGCCCAATGATTTGTCATTCAGGTTACGCTAATGCTAGATACATCTCAGCAGTAAAACAGGCCAGAATCAATAATATGCAGCTCAGACATTTAGCCTGAGCTACGTTCCTTTCATATTGATTCTTCCAGAGTGCTCCATTCGTCTGTATTTTGACAGCTAATGCTCCAGAATGTTCCAGTAAAAGGCTAGCTAGCGCTCTGGCCAACAATCAGGAGCAGCATTTTTTTCTCTCTCTGGTGTGACCAGGGCAAGGGGTCAGCTGGTGCGGCTGGTCCAGTGGAGCTGAAAGAGGAGGAGCAGTGAGACTGTTGATGTCTGACCATAGCCTGTTAGAAAAAATGGCTGGGTTTGATCCCTGCTGCCTAACTGGCCTGGGGAACCAGTGGACACCTAGGCACCCCAAAGCTGGAGCAGGGGGGAGAGCAGGGGGGAAAAGGGTCAGCCCAGAGAGAGACAGGGTCAGTGAGTACAAGCTGCCCGCTGCATGCACTGTCTGTCCATACCCAGACAGGAGGAACTTGTGGCTTGTGCTAATTGTGGTAATGCATTCAAACCAGTTGGTAGTTAGTTATAATCCTAGCAGTATAGCTTGTTCTCTCACCTTGGCAGCCATTTCCCTCTGCGGTGCCTGTGGTGTATCCATAGGGACAGATGCAGAGGTAGGAACCATCTGTGTTCAGACAGTCCCCTTCTCCACTGATCACCCCAGACCGACACTCATCCACAGCTGAACAGGAGATTGAACTGTCCCATTTCCTCCAAATCCACATGAGTGATACACACTAAGGACGTCCCCAGAGAGAGGGGGTCTGTGTGTGTCACAAATGACACTGACTCTTGCTAAATAGAAACGCAACATGTAAAATATTTGTCCCATGTTTCATGAGCTGAAATAAAAGATCCAAGAAATGTTCCACACACACAAAAAGCTTATTTATCTCAAATGTTGTGCACAAATTTGTTTACTTCCCTGTTAGTGAGCATTTCTCCTTTGCCAAGAGAATCCATCCACCTGATAGGTGTGGCATATCAAGAAGCTGATTAAACAGCATGATCATTACACAGGTGCACCTTGTACTGGGGAAAATTAAAGGCCACTCTAGAATGTGCAGTTGTGTCACACAACACAATCCCACAGATGTCTCAAGTTGAGGGAGCGTACAATTGGCATGCTGACTGCAGGACTGTCCACTAGAGATGTTGCCAGAGAATTGAATGTTCATTTCTCTACCATAAGCCGCCTCCAACATCGTTTTAGAGAATTTGGCAGTACGTCCAACCTGCCTCACAACCGCAGACCACGTGTCATGTGGGCGAGCGGTTTGCTGATGTCAATGTTGTAAACAGAGTGCCCCATGGTGGCGGTGGGGTTATGGTATGGGCAGGCATAAGCTACGGACAACAAACACAATTGCATTTTATCAATGGCAATGCACAGAGATACCGTGACGAGATCCTTTGGCCCAATGTTGTGCCATTCATCCGTTGCTATCACCTCATGTTTCAGCATGAAAATGCATGGCCCCATTTCGCAAGGATCTGTACACAATTCCTTGAAGCTGAAAATGTCCCAGTTCTCCATGGCCTCCATACTCACCAGACATTCACCCATTGAGCATGTTTGGGATGCTCTGGATCGACGTGTACGACAGCGTGTTCCAGTTCCCGCCAATATCCAGCAACTTCGCACAGCATTTGAAGAGGAGTGGGACAACATTCCACAGGCCACAATCAACAGCTTGATCAACTCTATGCGAAGGATACAGTGGGGAGAACAAGTATTTGATACACTGCCGATTTTGCAGGTTTTCCTACTTACAAAGCATGTAGAGGTCTGTAATTTTTTATCATAGGTACACTTCAACTGTGAGAGACAGAATCTAAAACAAAAATCCAGAAAATCACATTGTATGATTTTTAAGTAATTAATTTGCATTTTATTGCATGACATAAGTATTTGATACATCAGAAAAGCAGAACTTAAAATTTGGTACAGAAACCTTTGTTTGCAATTACAGAGATCATACGTTTCCTGTAGGTCTTGACCAGGTTTGCACACACTGCAGCAGGGATTTTGGCCCACTCCTCCATACAGACCTTCTCCAGATCCTTCAGGTTTCGGGGCTGTCGCTGGGCAATACGGACTTTCAGCTCCCTCCAAAGATTTTCTATTGGGTTCAGGTCTGGAGACTGGCTAGGCCACTCCAGGACCTTGAGATGCTTCTTACGGAGCCACTCCTTAGTTGCCCTGGCTGTGTGTTTCGGGTCGTTGTCATGGTGGAAAACCCAGCCACGACCCATCTTCAATGCTCTTACTGAGGGAAGGAGGTTGTTGGCCAAGATCTCGCGATACATGGCCCCATCCATCCTCCCCTCAATACGGTGCAGTCGTCCTGTCCCCTTTGCAGAAAAGCAGGATGTTTCCACCTCCATGCTTCACGGTTGGGATGGTGTTCTTGGGGTTGTACTCATCCTTCTTCTTCCTTCAAACACGGCGAGTGGAGTTTAGACCAAAAAGCTCTATTTTTGTCTCATCAGACCACATGACCTTCTCCCATTCCTCCTCTGGATCATCCAGATGGTCATTGGCAAACTTCAGACGGGCCTGGACATGCGCTGGCTTGAGCAGGGGGACCTTGCGTGCACTGCAGGATTTTAATCCATGACGGCATAGTGTGTTACTAATGGTTTTCTTTGAGACTGTGGTCCCAGCTCTCTTCAGGTCATTGACCAGGTCCTGCCGTGTAGTTCTGGGCTGATCCCTCACCTTCCTCATGATCATTGATGCCCCACGAGGTGAGATCTTGCATGGAGCCCCAGACCGAGGGTGATTGACCGTCATCTTGAACTTCTTCCATTTTCTAATAATTGCGCCAACAGTTGTTGCCTTCTCACCAAGCTGCTTGCCTATTGTCCTGTAGCCCATCCCAGCCTTGTGCAGGTCTACAATTTTATACCTGATGTCCTTACACAGCTCTCTGGTCTTGGCCATTGTGGAGAGGTTGGAGTCTATTTGATTGAGTGTGTGGACAGGTGTCTTTTATACAGGTAACGAGTTCAAACAGGTGCAGTTAATACAGGTAATGAGTGGAGAACAGGAGGGCTTCTTAAAGAAAATCTAACAGGTCTGTGAGAGCCGGAATTCTTACTGGTTGGTAGGTGATCAAATACTTATGTCATGCAATAAAATGCAAATTAATTACTTAAAAATCATACAATGTGATTTTCTGGATTTTTGTTTTAGATTCCGCCTCTCACAGTTGAAGTGTACCTATGATAAAAATTACAGACCTCTACATGCTTTGTAAGTAGGAATCGGCAGTGTATCAAATACTTGTTCTCCCCACTGTATGTGTCCTGCTGCATGAGGCAAATGGTGGTCACACCAGATACTAACTGGATTTCAGATCCACACCCCTACCTTTTTTTTAAAGGTATCTGTGACCAGCAGATGCATATCTGTATTCCCAGTCATGTGAAATCCATAGATTAGGGCCTAATGAATTTATTTCAATTAACTGATTTCCTTACACTAACTGTAACTCAGTAAAATCTTTGAAATTGTTGCATGTTGCGTTTATATTTTTGTTCAGTATACTTTATTTATATTATCGGCATGTTTATTATATTACTTATCAGCATGTCTTATTTTGCTATTTTACGAGTGCCTTTCACTCATGTGTGCTGTGTTATTTATGATTGCCATTCTCACGTGTGAAATTGAGTTGAATTGCATGAACTATTTACTTTCTTTACAGGTTGTGCTGTGATTCTACAGATTGGCATGGACTATATTGACTATGAGACAGCTGTTGCCAATCCCTATCAACTCCTCCCTCCCTGAACTAAACACTAAACATGCCCCAGAACTAGAGACAAAAGGAAATGGACACTTACCTTCAACGCGCCATTCGACTTGGAACCCCTCCACTTCTCGCTGCACCTCGACCGCTGTCCCTATCCACTGATCAGCTGTGCAAAAAAGACTCCATTACACTCTCTATAACACTACTAAAGGAAAGTGCTTATGTCTAATGTGTGATTCCAAGCTGTAGGTCAGTACATGTTCTAATTGTATGTTTGTTGACTCCCGCGTCTACAGACACAGGGTACACGCCTGGCGCAGCTGCGAGAGGCTATCGACACTACAATACAGCCACCCCGACAGAGAGAGCGAGAGGACTTGTACAACGCTCACAATAGCACCATCTAAAGGAAAGTGCTTATTCCCGAGTATGTGAGTGCATTTCTACATTGTTGATCAGCACAGTCACTCAGTGTACTTTTTGTGTTCCCCGCCAAGAGTTGTCGGGGAACATAGTTTCAACGCCGACGTCAGAGCAACGACGTTATCATGCAACGGCAACGAAGCCACGGAGGGCAACCCTGCTCGGGCAGAGCTGAACGAACAAACCCTGCTCTGGGAGAGCCGAACGAACGTAAACCACTGCTCTGTGTGAGTGAAGTAACTCTGCAGCTGTTCGTTTTTCCCCTGGGCTCAGTGTTAAATTCTGGGCTATACCGCAGTCCTAACTCCTAGCCTTAAATGTTTCTAACTGGGCGCTTAGTAGTTTTAAACAGAACCAATCAACTAATGCTTTTTAAGATCTTGTCACTTAATTCTAATCATCAATAAATAACCTTTTGATTGTACTTACAGTGCCTTCAGGAAGTATTCATACCCCTTGACTTATTCAAAATGTTTTGTGTTACAGCCTGAATTAAAAATCTCACCCATCTACACACAATACCCCATAATGAAAGTGAAAACATGTTTGACATTGTTGCTAATTTATTGAAAATGAAATATAGAAATGTCTCATTTACATAGTATTCCATACCCCTGAGTCAATACTTTGTAGAAGCACATTTGGGGGTGATTACAGCTTTGAGTCGTCTTGGGTATGTCTGTACCAGCGTTGCACATCTGGATTTGGGGATTTTCTCTCATTCTTTCTTGCAGAGTTTCTCAAGTTCTGTTAAGTTATATGGGGAGCGGCGGTGAAGAGCAATCTTCAAGTCTTTCCACAGATTTTCTAAATGGATTCAAGTCTGGGGTTTGGCTGGGCCACTCAAGGACTTTTACGTTCTTGTTCTGAAGCCATTCCAGCATTGCTTTGGCTGTATGCTTGGGGTAATTGTCCTGTTGGAACGTAAATCTTCGCTTCAGTCTAAGGTCGTTTGCACTCTGAAGCAGGATCTCATCAACGATTTGCCTGTATTTTGCTCCATTCATTGTTCCCTCTATCCTTACCAGTCTCCCAGTCCCTGCCGCTGAAAAGCATCCCCATAGCATGACGCCACCACCATGGTTCACGGTAGGGATGGTGTTAGACAGGTGTTGAGTTGTGCCTAGTTTTCTCCAGACATAGCGCTTTCCAGTCAGGCTAAAGAGTTACATTTTTGTCTCATCAGACCACAGAATATTTTGCCTAATGCCCTGTCTTTCACGTGCCTTTTTGCAAACTCCAGGTGTGCTGTCATATGCCCTTTTCTCAGGATTGGCTTCTGTCTGGCCACTCTCTCATAAATCCCAGATTGGTGAAGTGCTGTAGAGACCGTTGTCCTTCTGGCAGGTTCTCCCATCTCAGCCAAGGAACTCTGTAGTTCTGTCAGTGGTCATTGGGTTCTTGGTCACCTCCCTGACCAAGGTCCTTATTGTCCGGTTGCTCAGTTTGGTCAGACGGCCAGCTCTAGGCAGAGTCTAGGTAGTTCCATATTTGGAGACCACTGCGCTCTTGGAAACTTTCAACACTCTAGAAATAGTTGTATACCCTTACCCAGATATATGCCTCATCACAATTCTATCTCAGAGATCTACAGGCAGTTCCTTGGACTTCATGGTATAGTTTCATTGATTAATTAATTAATTAATTAATAGTTTCTGCTCTGACGTGCACTGTCAACTGTGGGACCTTATATAGACAGGTGTGTTTCTTTCTAAATCATGTACAAACAATTGAATTGGCCACAGGTGGACTCCAATCAAGTTGTAGTGAAAGCTCAAGGATGATAAAAGGAAATTGGATGCACCTGAGCTCAATTTGGAGTGTCATAGCAAAGGGGTTTGAATACTTATGTAAATGAGATTTCTGTTTTAATTTTCTATACATTTGACAAAATCTCTAAAAATATGTTTTCACTTTGTCATTATGGGGTATTGTGTGCAGATGGATGATTTTTTTTCAAATCCATTGTGAATTCAGGCTGTAATACAACAAAATGCGGAATAAGTCAAGGGGCATGAATACTTTCTGAAGGCACTGTACCTGTCTCTGTGGTTGTGTTTGCCGTGGGATCCTAGAATTCCGCTTTTGATGTGTTTGTGTGTGTACCTCTGCAGGACGTCCCTTCCACCAGCTCCAGGCCCGGGGGACAGGAGCAGCTGTAGGAGCCGGGGCTGTTGGTGCACTGTCCTCCCAGACACAGACCGCTGTCCTCACACTCATTGATGTCTGCCGAGCAGGGGACACAGAGGGGAAACACACACACACACCATTCAGTCCGTAATGTAGCGTGACACATTCACACCACAGCTGGCAGATCATTGGGTATTAATCCAAGTGGGTTCTCAGTTCATCCTCCAAATAATGCGGCCAAAACTTTGAGGAAAGTGTCACAACCTCCCACAAGAATATACATACATTTCATAGTTTACTTCGGGGAATTATGATGACTCATATCGCATCTGCCAGTGCTGGTCTACCATGCAGAGATGTGACTGACTACAAATATATTATCAGCATAAGAGGATAACTTCCAGCAGGAGTGAAGAGACATTAGTAAAAAAGTAGTACCTTCACAGGATAGCCCATTGGGCGCCAGCGTGAAGCCAAGGTCACAGGTCATACAGGAGTATGAGCCCTCTGTGTTGTTGCAAATGCCCATGGGACAGATCCCTGGGGACAGGCACTCGTTTATGTCTGAAGGAGAGAGAGAGAGAGAGATTGAGACAGAGAGGGGGAAGAGGGAAAAGAGAGAGAGCATCATAACATGAATGAGGTCAGATCAAGCCCATCAGTCCTAGGAGACACCCTCTCAAAGCACCCACAGCAACTGTCTGCCTCTGGCCTGATAACATGACTAATGGCTGAATGCAAGGAGTCAGTCTGCACGTACAGTAAGCAAAGCCTCCTTTATTAGCTTGCACTGACAGTGCTTTATTAAAAAGGGTGGAGAGATAGGCTAAGTATGCAGGACAGGCATCGATTCCAAAACAGCAAGCTATTACAGGTGGTGTATAATTACTGTATCAACAGACACTCCCTGGCTCTCTGTTATGTGATCATTGGAAATTCCTTGCTCTGGTACAGATTATATTTCTTATTGGGAAAATAGTGCAGGCCATTGTTAAGTGATTTGCCTGTGGGTCAACAGAGGAGTTCCACAGTGTGTGCTGGCTACATAGGCCGTTAATCTTTTCCTGGCACAGAGACATCCATTAAAATCCAATTAAAGTCTGACTTGGACTTGTTTCCAGGATTTTCCCAGAGCAAAACATTTAAAAAAGGAGATCTTCTTCCTAGTCTAAATCCACTCTTCCATTAAATAACATTGGATAATATAGGACTGGATCTGTACTCTTCCTCTTGGGGAGAAGAAGGGGAGGGTGGGGGTGAGTGTGTTCTAGAGGTTAGTTAGGCAGTCTTACCCTGGCAGTGGGTGCCGTCCTCAGACAGGGTAAAGCCAGTCCCACAGCTCCTGCAGGAGAAGGATCCGGGGCTGTTCCTACACAGCTGGCCTGGGCACACATTAGCCACCAAGCACTCATCCACATCTGAACAACAGGACAGAGAGACAGAGAGAAGCCCAGTTAACTACAGTTGAAGTCGTACATTTACATACACCTTAGCCAAATACATTTAAACTCAGCTTTTCACAATTCCTGACATTTAATCCTAGTAAAAATTCTGTTTTAGGTCAGTTAGGATCACCACTATTTTAAGAATGTGAAATGTCAGAATAATAGTAGAGAGAATGATTTCTTTCAGATTTTTTCTTTCATCACATTCCCAGTGGGTCAGAAGTTTACATACACTCAATTAATATTTGGTAGCATTGCCTTTAAATTGTTTAATTTGGGTCAAACGTTTTGGGTAGCCTTCCACAAGCTTCCCACAATAAGTTGGGTGAATTTTGGCCCATTCCTCCTGACAGAGCTGGTGTAACTGAGTCAGGTTTGTAGGCCTCCTTGCTCGCACACGCTTTTTCATGTTTCAATGTTCTATAGGATTGAGGTCAGGGTTTTGTGATGGCCACTCCAATACCTTGACTTTGTTGTCCTTAAGCCATTTTGCCACAACTTTGGAAGTATGCTTGGGGTCATTGTCCATTTGGAAGACCCATTTACGACCAAGCTTTAACTTCCTGACTGATGTCTTGAGATGTTGCTTCAATATATCCACATAATTTTCCTTCCTCATGATGCCATCTATTTTGTGAAGTGCACTAGTCCCTCCTGCAGCAAAGCACCCCCACAGCATGATGCTGCCACCCCTGTGCTTCTCGGTTGGGATGTTGTTCTTTGGCTTGCAAGTACTCCCTTTTTCCTCCAAGAACGATGGTCATTATGGCCAAACAGTTCTGTTTTGTTTCATCAGACCAGAGGACATTCTCCAAAAAGTAAGATTTTTGTCCCCATGTGCAGTTGCAAACCGTAGTCTGGCTTTTTTATGGCGGTTTTGGAGCAGTGGCTTCTTCCTTGCTGAGTGGCCTTTCAGGTTATGTCGATATAGGACTTGTTTTACTGTGGATATAGATACTTTTGTACCTGTTTCCTCCAGCATCTTCACAAGGTCCTTTGCTGTTGTTCTGGGATTGATTTGCACTTTTCGCACCAAAGTAGCGTCTCCTTCCTGAGCGGTATGACGGCTGCGTGGTCCCATGGTGTTTATACTTGCGTACTATTGTTTGTACAGATGAACGTGGTACCTTCAGGTGTTTGGAAATTGCTCCCAAGGATGAACCAGACTTGTGGAGGTCTACAATTAATTTTCTGAGGTCTTGGCTGATTTCTTTTGATTTTCCCATGTTGTCAAGCAAAGAGGCACTGAGTTTGAAGGTAGGCCTTGAAATACATCCACAGGTACACCTCCAATTGACTCAAATTATGTCAATTAGCCTATCAGAAGCTTCTAAAGCCATGACATCATTTTCTGGAATTTTCCAAGCTGTTTAAAGGCACAGTCAACTTAGTGTATGTAAACTTCTGACCCACTGGAATTGTGATACAGTGAATTATAAGTGAAATAATCTGTCTGTAAACAATTGTTGGAAGAATTACTTGTGTCATGCACAAAGTAGATGTCCTAACAGACTTGCCAAAACGATAGTTTGTTAACAAGAAATTTGTGGAGTGGTTGAAAAACGAAGTGTATGTAAACATCCCACTTCAACTGTACATAGCTGAGCTGTAGCAGAGGACAGCATGCCTGGTGGAAAACATGACAGCGTGCCACATGTAATACTTTCGATCAGTTTATAATTGATATGGCATAAAGTTCCACTGTCAACACATCTATCTCTCCAGCTGATCTATCAGTGGGACAGGCTTACTTCAGCGTGTTTTATTTGAGGCCCATTTCTCATTCTTTTGAACACATGGTGCCGGAGGGATAGGGATCCAGGACCCAGTTATGATGTGATGTCTGGGAGTATTTTGGGATCTTTAGCTCAGGAGAGGGGCTTTGTGTCCAAGTCGTCACACCTGACGCCATTTACAGACAACCTGAGCCTGCTGTTAACACAGGCGATGTGTGGGAGAGAGGCCTGGCTGGACTCACACAGGGCCCAGTGAGGCGTTACCTGGCACACTCTCTCACATCTGACACACGCAGGGCAGAGGGCAGAACATAACATGCTTACACAGCATACCATAACATACCTTCACAGTCTAGCCCATCCTCAGTCACTCTGTAGCCTGGCCTGCAGGTGGTGCAGATGAAGGAACCCTCTGTGTTGGCGCATGTTCCCCTGGGGCAGGTAGTGGGCAGCGCACACTCATCAATATCTGTTCCAATAAGTAACAAACAAACTCAGACTGGTCAGTAACATACAACTTCTTCAGGACAGATCATTAGATGTGGTTTCAGGGAGGATGGACGAACCTTCACAGAGCTCTCCATCAAGGGAGACGCTGTAGCCTGAGGGACAGGTGATGCAGGAGTAGGAGCCCTCAGAGTTGAGACAGATCCCGTTAGCACACACAGACCCAGACTGGCACTCATCAATATCTGGAGAGACACGCAGACCAGCACAGACATGATTTACTATTGATACAGTTGATACACGCAAAGGGCAAGTCTTAGAAGGCGTGGGCAAATGTGCCAGCTGGGGAAGGCTTTGACTGGACTCACCCTCACACCTCTGCCTGTCCTGGAAAACCCTGTATCCGTCCTTACAGCTGGTGCAGGTGAAGGAGCCCTCTGTGTTGGCACATACCCCTCCTAGACACATGTCTGCTTGGGAGCACTCATCCACATCTGGAACAAAGACACAGATTACCATGAAGAATGTACAGTAGGTTGCTACACACTGTCTGACATGGTAGGTGATGATAATTCAGTGTGTTGACTGAAACACTAAAGGTTGTACAGGTTATATACAGTACCTTCACATCTCTGTCCAGCCGCTGATCGCTGAAATCCAGGGCTGCAGTTCTTGCATGAGTAGGAACCTTCGGTGTTGGTGCAAATTCCCCCGGGGCACACATTAGGAGTAGCACACTCGTCAACATCTAATAAAACAATGATGAGGTATTAAAAAAGCCACAGAGAGCTCAGAGCTCAAAGAGAACAGTGTTATACCGTGAAGAGTCATATTCCACACATCTAATCCTTTACAGACCTTCACAGGCCCTGCCGTCAGGAGTGGTTTGGTAACCAGGGTTACAGCTGCACCTGTGGGAGCCATCCAGATTGACACACCTGCCATGGAGGCAGGCTCCGGGGAGCAGACACTCATCCACATCTGGAGAAAAGACAGTATGGAGGAGGACCTCGTTAAACCACCACTGCTCCTCACTGTTAACAACATTTATTGAAAGCCCCTGGACCTCAAAGACTTCTTCAGTAGCACTATTGCACCTTCAGAGAACTGTTACTTTAATACCAAACCTGGAAAATGTATGATGTGTGACTAATGTTTTCACAAACAAGTACCTTGGCAACTGTTCTTGTCCGAAGAGGCCTGGTATCCTTGGTAACAGTTACAGCTGTAGGAGCCTTCGGAGTTGACACACCTACCGTGGAAGCACACCGATTGGTCCAAACACTCATTGACGTCTGAGGGCGAGACAGGTCACTAACATTAAGGTCACCATGACAAGACAAAATTAGTAGGAATACACTGTTACTGTGAATGTTTGTCATTATCTATCGCCCTGCCTTAATCTTTTCCACTTCATGCGCTAAGTCAATACACATGATAATGGCAGAAACACTATATATATTTTTAGAAACAATCATGCAGAAACATTGTTTTAAAGTAGACTCCAAAAGGTGTAAAACAAAAACTGTATTTCATGGATCTAAGCATGTGGCAGACAGCTCTATCTCCATTGTGTGGATCGAGCATGGAGATGTGTGTCTCTGTGTGTGTGAGTGGGCAGAGTTGAACTCTCTCCACACAGCTGTGCAGGCAGGTTTAGTGTGAGGTGAATGAGACAGTAGAAACAGACGGCTACAGCGCTGAAAACATCCAGTGGAACACAGGCAGGGCTTTGTGTGTGCCTTGCCTCGCCTGCGGTGGCTCTAGGCAGACATCTGTCAGTGCGGCCCAAAACGTTGTTTCTGCAATCTCCTGGCATCTCTGTCTTCTACGATAAGCCTGACATGTGACTGGAGCGGTTTTCTCTATCGCACCACCAATTAGGCTTATCCACGACGCAGCCAATTGGACTCCAACTACTGTGCTACACTCTTAGAAAAAGGATTCCAAAAGGGTTCTTCGGTTTTGTCTAAGGCAGATGCTGGAAACAAACATGGGGAACACACTCGCTGCTTGCATACATGGTCTCTGATTTAGCTGAGTTCCTTCACCATGTGGATATTAGCCTGTTGCTGGTCCTGTTAGTGGAGGTTTATTTAGCTCCTGTGTTCCACCTCATTTACAGAAGAAGTGCCTCTCAGCAGCTAGTCATACTCCACATCATAACATAGAACGCTATGAGAGGATTGATTGTATGTGTTTAAAGACCTATTAGCAGAAAATAGTGGAGCTAATGTAGTATTTTCTTTGAAGGGAAAGTAATCAGATTGAAGTAATCAAAGAACCCATGAGGTAAGCTCGAGCCTTGTAGGAATCATTGGGAAGACATTTTAGAATGGGCAAAGAAAACTGCTTGAACATTAAGTTCACCTTTCACAGGTGAGTTCAGACTGGGAGAACTTGAATTTTACAAAATAATCACCTCAGAAGCTCAAATATTCAACCCTTTTCTGGATGAGTGGGGGCGGTGGTGGCGAGAGGGACAAGATGTCGCAATACCAGCCAGGAGAGTCTCTTACTTAACAGGAGCACCTCAAGGTTAGGGGGGTGCTACGCTTTATACAACGGGTGGGTCTAATCCTGAACGGGTGGGTCTGGCTCCTTCAGCATGCTACAGACCTTGTATAGTGTGTCATGAATTGTGTATTAGAGCAGTGGGGTAATATTGACCCCTTGACCCCTCCATACATGTCAGTCCTCACTCCAGTCCTGCACCCGTATTAAAGACCTAGCCCTGCTGGGCTCCACTGCAGTGGCCGGAGCAATCCCAAAATAATAGGCTGTTTGTTTGAGGCTGTGGCCAAGGGAAAATATTTTGACTCTCCCAAAATGAAGTACTATAAACAATATTTTACAGCAGCAGATGATATGAAAAGATGAGCAATAACAAGGCGATGTGTTTAAACAATATGGGTCTGGCCCCGGGGGCTAGGGATAGGTGGGGAGAGCAGGAGGGGCAGATATTACAAAAATAATGGAGCCACTAGAAGGGAAAGAGTGAGAGAGTGGAGGACCTAGCCTAGGAGTCACTAACTCACTGCCATCACTCAAGCCCCACCAGATCTCTCCTGCTACTCTGCACTGTGGTTGGGGTGCTGTGGTAGTCCCCTGCAAATACAACATCCAATATTAAGCCCTTTAAAAAGAGGATTACAGCCTGAAATACGTTTTCTAGAATCCTCAATGACTCCAGCCTTTTGAGCTAAGACACAAGTGAAAAATCTAATTCAGCTGTGTCTATTTTCAAAGGATAAAGCTAAGAACATTAACAACTTCATAGTTAAGAACACTATAACAATATGGAAGAAAATTAAACGTATTCTACAAGAACCAATATTACTCCCTAAAAACACAACCTTATGGAACAATCCTTGGATAGCTTTTCAGAATTTACTGATAAATTGGTCGACATGGAAAACTAAAGACATAGAAACAGAAATGACTTGGTAACAGGAAATACATGTTTTTCCTTGGCAGAATTCAAAACAAATGTTGGACTGACCAATGTAGATAGTTTTAAATTCATGCAACTTAAAAGTTACATTTCGATTTGAAATCTTTTGGACATCAGAGCAACCTTGAGGGAATCTTATTTGAGTCAGAAAAGGATGTTCATATGATGTGGAAGATACAGTGAGGGAAAAAAGTATTTGATCCCCTGCTGATTTTGTACGTTTGCCCACTGACAAAGAAATGATCAGTCTATAATTTTAATGGTAGGTTTATTTGAACACTGAGAGACAGAATAACAACAAAAAAATCCAGAAAAACGCATGTCAAAAATGTTATAAATTGATTTGCATTTTAATGAGGGAAATAAGTATTTGACCCCCTCTCAATCAGAAAGATTTCTGGCACCCAGGTGTCTTTTATACAGGTAACGAGCTAAGATTAGGAGCACACTCTTAAAGGGAGTGCTCCTAATCTCAGCTTGTTACCTGTATAAACGACACCTGTCCACAGAAGCAATCAATCAGATTCCAAACTCTCCACCATGGCCAAGACCAAAGAGCTCTCCAAGGATGTCAGGGACAAGATTGTAGACCTACACAAGGCTGGAATGGGCTACAAGACCATCGCGAAGCAGCTTGGTGAGAAGGTGACAACAGTTGGTGCGATTATTCGCAAATGGAAGAAACACAAAAGAACTGTCAATCTCCCTCGGCCTGGGGCTCCATGCAAGGTCTCACCTCGTGGAGTTGCAATGATCATGAGAACGGTGAGGAATCAGCCCAGAACTACACGGGAGGATCTTGTCAATGATCTCAAGGCAGCTGGGACCATAGTCACCAAGAAAACAATTGGTAACACACTACGCCGTGAAGGACTGAAATCCTGCAGCGCCCGCAAGGTCCCCCTGCTCAAGAAAGCACATATACAGGCCCGTCTGAAGTTTGCCAATGAACATCTGAATGATTCAGAGGAGAACTGGGTGAAAGTGTTGTGGTCAGATGAGACCAAAATGGAGCTCTTTGGCATCAACTCAACTCGCTGTGTTTGGAGGAGGAGGAATGCTGCCTATGACCCCAAGAACACCATCCCCACCGTCAAACATGGAGGTGGAAACATTATGCTTTGGGGGTGTTTTTCTGCTAAGGGGACAGGACAACTTCACCGCATCAAAGGGACGATGGACGGGGCCATGTACCGTCAAATCTTGGGTGAGAACCTCCTTCCCTCAGCCAGGGCATTGAAAATGGGTCGTGGATGGGTATTCCAGCATGACAATGACCCAAAACACACGGCCAAGTCAACAAAGGAGTGGCTCAAGAAGAAGCACATTAAGGTCCTGGAGTGGCCTAGCCAGTCTCCAGACCTTAATCCCATAGAAAATCTGTGGAGGGAGCTGAAGGTTCGAGTTGCCAAACATCAGCCTCGAAACCTTAATGACTTGGAGAAGATCTGCAAAGAGGAGTGGGACAAAATCCCTCCTGAGATGTGTGCAAACCTGGTGGCCAACTACAAGAAACGTCTGACCTCTGTGATTGCGAACAAGGGTTTTGCCACCAAGTACTAAGTCATGTTTTGCAGAGGGGTCAAATACTTATTTCCCTCATTAAAATGCAAATCAATTTATTACATTTTTGAAATGTGTTTTTCTGGATTTTTTTGTTGTTATTCTGTCTCTCACTGTTCAAATAAACCTACCATTAAAATTATAGACTGATCATGGGCAAACGTACAAAATCAGCAGGGGATCAAATACTTTTTTCCCTCACTGTATACAAAACCTTGCAGAGAGCATATCCAACTGACAATCTCTTGGAAAAAAATATAAACTATTGGATCCAAGACTTAAAAAGAACCGATGTTGACACAAGATGGAGGGAAAGTTGGAGCATACTAACAAAATTAAAGTTAACAAAAAGGTACACTTAATCCAGTATAAACTAATCTATAGTATTTATTATAAAAGAGACAAAATTCACAAATTCTACGAGTCATGTCTCAAGTGTAAAACGAATAATGACTCAATAATCAATTCTTTCTGGGAATGTTATAAAGTCCGGAAGTTGTGGGCAGAGCTAGAAAGTTGGCTGTCAGAAGTATTACAATGTAAATGTACTTTTAATCTGTCTGTCTGCATATTTCAAGACATTACATATGGGGGTGTAGTAGGATACCCAATGGGCTGGATGATTCTCTTCTCATCACTCATCTTGAAAAAACACATACTAAAAACTTGGAAGTCAATCAATCCGCCATCATCGACACAATGGAAAAATCTAATGATTTATTATAGAAATAGCATGGGCGACCGAGAAAAACGAATTGGTACATTTTAAGGGCAGTCAATAAACACCACTGGCCATGCTGCATTGTGATGTTCTGTTAGTTCAGAGTGTTAAGGCTGTCTGTCTCTGTGCTGGACTCACCTTCACACTGCCCCCTCCAGGACTTAGCGTAGCCACTCTTGCATTCACAGGTGTAAGATCCCTCCGTGTTGACACAGTCACCATCCTGGCACTTGTTGGCCATGTCACACTCATTTATATCTACACAAAATCACCAGAACAAGTCAGAGAGAGAGAAGTAACAAAGAAAGACTATTGTTCTATGAATCTGGCTCATTAGAGGAACATTGCTAATCTGAATTTGTCCTTAAATGGTCTTGAAATACAACATGAAAGACTGTGTTTGAAAATGATGTGACATTACATCCCTCAATCTGTCTCTCACTACCCCTAGTCTCTCTGGGGAAGGGTTTAGGTACAGTTTTATTCTGGTATGAGAGCAGGAGAACTACAGCTAAAACTACAGCACCCAGCATGCTTTGCCTCCTCCTCTTACCATGGCAGAACTTCCTGTTCTGGGTGATGACCTGGCTATAGCCGCTGTAGCAGTGGCAAGTGTAGGAGCCAAAGGTGTTCACACAATGGCCCTTCCCTCCACAAGGGTCTTCCTCACACTCATTCACATCTGGAGAGAGAGAGAGACAGAGAGAGAGAAAAAGAAAGAGGGGGGAGAGAGGCCAGAGTGTTACATTTCAGCTCCATCTCACCACTGAAGACCTTGCACTTTCCAACCCTTCACTCTGGAGCCCCTCCACAGTGCAGTGGAGTGCAGGCATTCCTCAGTGATGGGCCAGAGCAGGGCTTGGATGGCGACTGCAGAGTGAGGTAACGGATTAAAGCACCGTGGCAGCTCTCTGGATCACTCCGACCGTGTTGTCAGGCATCGCATAACGGGTCAACATAAACACAGGGATAGCTTTCACTTAGCTCTTGATTTCTCAAGGCCTCTGTGCTTGTATAGTATGTGGTGTGAACAGCGAGGCTCGTGTTGAGACAATGATATGGAGAGCTGACAGAACCCCCGGAGAAGCCCCCTTTACCAGCCCGCCTCTTCCTGTCTTACCGATGCAGTTGGTCTGGAGCGCGCTCAGCTTGTAGCCGGGGTCACAGTAGCAGGTGTAGCCTGTCTGCACTGGTAGGCACAGCCCATTGCCACAAATGGTTGGAGTGATGGCGCACTTGTCAATATCTGTGAGGAGATACTGACACTGTGAACATTCAATACAATACCTCAGTACATAGACATGCCGTGTTCGTCCTATCCTATTGGGTTACCCTTTCTACACAACTCTTCCTAAACCATATCTACTGCAAAGAAGGTTCACTCGTCCACCACATTTTATTCTCCATAGAAACGTTCAGGCTGTTTTATGGCGGAGCCTTGGATGGGAGGACAGGTTTTACGGTGGTGTAATATTCTAACAGAGGGCAGGGAGCTCTCATTAAGGGTCAGGATGAGAAGGATGGCAATGCACTGTTAAGCCTGTCACTGGACTTGTCAGTTGTTTGTTTCAGTCCAAAGTGGTTATTGTAAGCACGAGCTGAGGGTGGGCTGCTGGGTTTGGCTCAGAGCGCTGACCCTCTCCATAGGATGACCGCAGGTCACTAACACACAGTCTTCTCTCTCTTCTCTTCATGCAGGCCTGGCGCCTGGCGCCTGTCCAATCCAGTTTCCTCTTCCAAAAGGCACACTCTCTCTGGTTTCTCGCTCTCTCACCCTCTGTGCTGCTCGGAAGCCTGAAGCCAAGTTGGCTTGGAGGAGAGGGTCCACTAAGAGGACAACACATGCTCTGCTTCCCCTTGCTAAACTATAGGTCAGCCCTCAGAAATATATATCAAACAGGCCTGTTGGACACAACTCACAAATTAATTGAGAAATCCCATCTGTATCTAGAAAGAATAAAGCTTGCAAGTCAACATTTAAATAGTTATTGGGGAGAATTATGAATAGACTGTTCCAATTACTTGGATTACCAAACCTTGTCACCCCATCAAAAACTGTATCTCTTAATGTACTGTTAATAATGTAGCATCAGTGGAAGTCGAAGGCACAGTCCCCACTATTCCCAGATGTCAATTCAACGTCTATTCCCCGTTGGTTGAACGTAATTTAATTGACGTGACGTGGCCATGCAGTGTATTGTGACCATGACTCTCACCTGTGACCTGAGTGGCCACGTTGATGAAGGCTGTATCCTGACCCACAGACTCAGGTCCCAGGTTGATGGGAGAGTCAGGAGTGACTTTCTCTACTGCATCTACTGGAGAGAGAGTTGGGGGAGAAAGAGAGAGAGAGAGAAATACGAGTAGCGTCCAGACATGAAACACAGGAACAGAATCAATAACGCCTGGGGAATAACCCGAAGGGAGTGACAGATATAGGGGAGGTAATCAGGAAGGTGATGGAGTCCAGGTGAGTCTCATAATACCACGCAGGTGCGCGTAACGTTCGTGGCAGGTGTGCGTATTGAACAGTCAACTGGCGACCTCGAGCGCGTGAGAGGGGGAGCGGGAGTAGACGTGACACCGGTAATGGCATGATAATCACTCACGAGGTCATCCTACGGTAGCATGGCAGTGATGTAAAGATGAAATATGCCCTTTCTGCTTGCTAAAAACAGCACAATAAAAGACATCAGCGGGACTCATAGATCAACTCAACCTATAGACTTTATCATAGATCAACTCAACCTATAGACTTTATCATAGATCAACTCAACCTATAGACTTTATCATAGATCAACTCAACCTATAGACTTTATCATAGATCAACTCAACCTATAGACTTTATCAATGTTTTCATTGGCTGCCTCTGCTGTGTGCTATGTGTGAGCGATTTATAGAAAATGGATCAGGACCCCATTTGCCTGACTGCATGGTAAAACTCTGTTTTCTCAGGTGCGCTCATTGGCTTTATCAATGCACCATGAGGTGCAGGACCACTGTCTAAAAACACCACAGTAAATTACAGGCTGAAACCGTGATTATGAGTTATGAATATGAACAGACACCATTGTGATGAGGTTCTTTGATTAATTGGAAATTAGATAAATTACCTGGGTACTTCAATGGTGAGTCGGTCGCAACAGGAGACTGTGGAATAAGCAAGAATAGGTTATAATTGGGTTATAAAACAAGTTATAACCATCAAACTCAAATATGTTCTTCATATCTTGAATTTAAAGACTTAATACCATATGTGTCTTACAGCTGAGAGATGCTGGAAGCTTTTTCTACAATAAACATTTCAAAAGCATGTGCTTTTTTTTGGAGAAGAGGAACTCACCGGGTTCAATATTTGCACATCTGTTAGGAGAGAGAGAAGAGGCCGTTTTATCAGTAAAGAAAGCTGACATTCTGTTAGCATTATCACATATTACCATTGAGATATCAATCTATGTTCTCATCGGGCGTTTTACTGTTTAGACGCCATCTTAAGGTCTTTGTTTCTAATAAAACATGTATCCCTTAAGCCGGGGAGAAGACCTGGACTCTGATAATAATGTACACTACAGTACATGGAACAATGCTAATAAAGAGGGGGAATAGATATCTCAGATAATTAAGACACAATCTATAAATATTTATGGTCTCCTAATATAAATCATTTTGCTCGGGCCATGGCAATAAATTATCTCAGAACTGCAAATCAGATGAATGTTTCACAGAAGATCCAGAGGTCACAGATGTTTGACCTGTGTGGATTAAGTCCTCTGCTCAAACGATAGGGGAGGTGTATTCTGACAGATAGGGGAAGCAAATACTGTTTCATATTTAGTAGATGAGGATAAAGCTGTTATTTGTGGATAGAAAACATCCTGTTGTCATCTGTGTAAATAGCTACTTTGTCCTTGTCTACTAAAAGGGTTTCCATTGTGTAACCTTGTAAGTTTAAATCCATTTTAGTACAGTATGTTGCAGAAATAATATTATCAGTGGTCGACTGACTACCTTATTTGGACACAAACGCCACAATAAAGTATGCATAATAATATTATTGTTCTCACCTTGAGGATGGCTGTGGGTCTCCCCAGCTGGATGCTGTGTGTCTGGGTCTGGATGGAGAGGGTACCGGGGCTGTTGTGGGATGTGAGGGTACTGAGGGTTCTGAGGTGTCTGGGGGTGCTGTGGGAACTCTTGGGGGTGCTCTGGATGGTGGGGGTGTTGTGGGAGCTCTTGGGGGTGCAGTGGATGGTGGGGGTACTGTGGGGTCTGGGGGATCTCCTGTGGATGGTGTGGGTGTTGTGGTTGGTGGGGGTATTGTGGGATCTGTGGGGTCTGTGGGAAGTGGGGCAGCTGCTGCGGGGGCTGAGCTGGCTGCTGGGGCAGTTGGGGGTGGCTAGGGTTCTGGGACTCCCAGGAAACGCCTGTCCTCCTCAGTTCCTCTTCCTCCAGCTGTCTAAGGGAGATCTGCACATCGGAGCGTGAGTATGTGTAGCCGTGGCCAGCGGGACAGATCTCCTTGAAATGGTCTGCAGGCGTACAGGGGCAAACAAAGAACCATAGAAAACATCATAAGGCCTTATTCCCCCCTTGGGCTCCTGAACTAACATCAAACGCTGCCAGACAGTAATTATGGATCGTATTTCTGTCTAGTGTTCGCAGCAATACCATAAGCCATCCGTGTAATACCATTATGTACAGCATGCCATACTGTAGTCTCTCTGTGAAAGGGATTGGGTTTCAGCCATGGCCAGGGAGGGAGCTGCCAGGGCAGTGACAGCCGTCAGAGAGGATATCATAGGGTGGATTTGGATGTGTCAGACACAGGCTCAGGGCAGTGCCAAGGGGGAAGTAGACGATCATGTAACATAACTGACCTTTGAACTCTGGGCAGTAGAAGACTGACTGTAGAGATAAAAGGAGGGTGATTGCATCTCTTTGTGTTGGAGCCCAAAAGACTTCAGCATGGGTGAATCTATTACATTTAAATAGTATTGTCCCCTGCCTGACCTGGAACAGAGGCCTCTGGAACAGAGGCAAATGTTATAAAGGACAGAGAATCTCTAATACTGATAGCACTGTGGTTAAGTGCAGGAAGCGTGGATAGGATGATAGTCTCCTGACTGATGTCTATAATGCGGATGGAGATGGGGGTTTGTGGCTGTATCCACATCAGAGCCTTAAGTCTGACATGATGTCAAGTCAACGTGCTCCTATTACCAAACGACTAATAATGAGTCTGGATTCTCTGTGTTCAACATGGCTCTGACAGATTGTCAGGCCATACAACAGCCAGTGTCTGACTCTGGGTAATCAGGCTGTGTGTGGACTGTATCTGCACACAGAGCCACAGAGTAGAGTACTAGTCTGGCAGAGCACCATGGAGGTCTGGTCTGGCTCTCAAATATCTGATCTGTGACAACCTCCATGAATCACTCACCGAAACGGGCACTGCTCTGAATAATGTTAGTTTCTCTGACTTTGAAGATCAAATTGGCAAGAAAAAAGCAGATGAAAACCATTTCCTGTTTTCCATTTGGCTTGACTCTTTTTTTCAGGGGGGGGGGGGGGGACCTAGCTGGACTATTACTGGCATTTCCCTCCAAGAACCTGTGTGATACAAGATTGACTCCCACTATTATAATATTATACAGCTTTGACATATGAAGGTTATGTTGTTTTGTGCTTATTCCACATTAAACACTTTGGGTTATCGTTGAACTGCATTACATGACTGGCGGGCTGAGGCAGCCAGTATAATCTGGTGAGTGAAGCCTGAACGACTGTCGTATTAAGTAGCACATATGCTTTCATTAAGATCACAATATGCACCCTAAGATCACACATTTCATACCGCCTTTAAAATCCAACCCAGCCAATAAATGTTCACCTAGTGTAATCAAAGTATTTGACCAGTTCATCGAGGTTGGGAGTGGCCATCTCCACTGCATGTACTAGAGAGAGAGAGAGCAATAGACAGAGCGGTAGTAGTATGGTCTGTGTGCGTGGGTACCTGTGTCTGGCAGAGGGCACCTCTCGCAGGCCGTGCCCCAGGCCTTGCCCACACGGCTGCAGCAGCAGATCTGCTTGGTGATGTGCTGGGTGAGCGGCAGAGAGCAGGTCCCCGCTGATGCTGAGCGGTAACACATCTCCCTCTGGTCCGACACAGCCTTGTCCGCTATCCAAAAATCAAATGCGCCTCCATCAGACAGACTTCACACACCAAGGAAAGACCATAAGACAGACAGGCCATCAGTCATAGCAACAGACAGTAGGAGTACTCACAGACACAGTGGCTCCTGGCAGGGTCCAGCATGTAGCCTGGTTTACAGGTGCATCTGTAGCTTCCTCTGGTGTTCAGACACTCAGCGTTCTTACAGATCCCACTCATCAGGCACTCGTTGATGTCTGGGAGAAGAAAACACACCATGGTAGTACAGTATCTGACTGTTGGGTTATAACAATATGTTGGGTGTCAGGATGGCAAAGAAAACAATCTGACTAACGAAAAACTATTTATTTAGGTCATGTTGAACTCATATCCAATTACACATCTTCATTTATAGGAATAAGTTACTTTCCCTCATCAGCCCTAAGTCTATATTTATTACAGACTCCCATACACCAAAATGTGTTGTATTCTACAACAATGTTTCTGACAGCTAGAGAAGATGGATGAAGTGAGTCCTTTGTCATCTTCACACATTGAGAGGTGCCCAAGTATCACTATGGGGTGTAAGTAATCAAAACCATGAGCTACTGGCAAGTGATGGCATATGATAGATGGCCTAGATAACATGTGATAGATGCCCTAGATTACATATGATAGATGCCCTAGATGATATATGATAGATGCCCTAGATGACATATGATAGATGCCCTAGATGATATATGATAGATGCCCTAGATGACATTTGATAGATGCCCTAGATGATATATGATAGATGCCCTAGATGACATATGATAGATGCCCTAGATGACATATGATAGATGCCCTAGATGACGTGATAGATGCCCTAGATGACATATGATAGATGCCCTAGATGACATATGATAGATGCCCTAGATCAGGGTTCTTCAATTCCGGTCCTGGAGGGCCGAAACACTTCTGTTTTTTATTTCTACCTGCTAGTTAATTGCACTTACCTGGTGTCCCAGGTCTGAATTAGCCCCTGATTAGAAGGAGAGGATGAAAAACAGAGGAGTTTCGTCCCTCCAGGACCAGAATTGAAGAACCCTGCCCTAGATTATGTGATAAATACTGTAGATGACATGTGATAGATGCCCTAAATGACATCAAATCAAATCAAACTTTATTTGTCACATGCGCGGAATACAACAGGTGTAGACCTTACCGTGAAATGCTTACTTACCAGCCCTTAACCAACAATGCAGTTCAAGAAAGAGTTAAGAAAATATTTACTAAATAAACTAAAGTAAAAAAAAAAAAATAATCACACAATAAAATAACAATAATGAGGCTATATACAGGGGGTACCGGTACCGAGTCAATGTGCGGGGGTACATGTTAGTTTAGGTAATTTGTACATGTAGGTAGGGGTAAAGTGACTATACATAGATAATAGACAGCGGGTAGCAGCAGTGTATAAACAAATGGAGGGGGGGGGTGTCATTCTAAATAGTCCGGGTGGCCATTTGATTAATTGTTCAGCAATCTTATGGCTTGGGGGTAGAAGCTGTTAAGGAGCCTTTTGATTCTAGACTTGGCGCTCCGGTATCGCCTGACGTGTGGTAGCAGAGAGAACAGTCTATGACTTGGGTGACTGGAGTCTTTGACAATTCTTTGGGCTTTCCTCTGACACCGCCTAGTATAAAGGTCCTGGATGACAGGAAGCTTGGCCCCAGTGATGTACTGGAAAAGGTGTTGTCGTTCCCTCTTCACGACTGTCTTGGTGTGACCATGATAGTTTATTGGTGATGTGGACACCAAGGAACTTTAAACTCTCGACCCGCTCCACTACAGCCCCATCGATGTTAATGGGGGCCTGTTCCTGTAGTCCACGATCATCTCCTTTCTCTTGCTCACATTGAGGGAGAGGTTGTTGTCCTGGCACCACACTGCCAGGTCTCTAACCTCCTCCCTATAGGCTGCCTCATCGTTGTTGGTGATCAGGCCTACCACTGTTGTGTCATCAGCAAACTTAATGATGGTGTTGGTGTCGTGTTTGGCCATGCAGTCGTGGGTGAACAGGGAGTACAGGAGGGAACTAAGCACGCACCCCTGAGGGGCCCCAGTGTTGAGGATCAGCGTGGCAGACGTGTTGTTGCCTACCCTTACCACCTGGGGGCTGCCCGTCAGGAAGTCCAGGATCCAGTTGCAGAGGGAGGTGTTTAGTCCCAGGGTCCTTAGCTTAGTGATGAGCTTTGTGGGCACTATGGTGTTGAACGCTGAGCTGTAGTCAATGAACAGCATTCTCACATAGGTGTTCCTTTTTTCCAGGTGGGAAAGGGCAGTGTGGTGTGCAATTGAGATTGCGTCATCTGTGGATCTGTTGGGGCGATACGCGAATTGGAGTGGGTCTAGGGTATCCACATCATGGCTACCGACGTGAGTGCTACGGGGCCGTAATAATTTAGGCAGGTTACCTTCGCTTCCTTGGGCACAGGGACTATGGTGGTCTGCTTGAAACATGTAGGTATTACGGACTCAGTCAGGGAGATCCGTCTGGCCCCGCGGCTTTGTGAATGTTGACCTGTTTAAAGGTCTTGCTCACATCGGCTACCGAGAGCCTTATCACACAGTCGTCCGGAACAGCTGGTGCTCTCATGCATGCTTCAGTGTTGCTTGCCTCAAAGTGAGCATTAAAGGCATTTAGCTCGTCTGGTAGGCTTGCGTCACTGGGCAGCTCGCGGCTGGGTTTCCTTTTTGTAGTCCGTAATAGTTTGCAAGCCCTTCCACATTCGACGAGCATCAGAGTTGGTGTAGTAGGATTCAAGCTTAATCCTGTATTGACGCGTTGCCTGTTTGATGGTTCATCTGAGGGCGTAGCGGGATTTCTTATAAGCGTCCGGATTAGTGTCCTGCTCCTTGAAAATGGCAGCTCTAGCCTTTAGCTTACCAGACGTAGATTCTCTGTCCTGCCGATGCATGGAAAATCCCGCCAGCTTTATATTATCCTTGTCGTCGTTCAGCCACAACTCAGTGAAACATAAGATATTACAGTTTTTAATGTCCCGTTGGTAGGATATTCTTGATCATAGATTATCCATTTTGTTTTCCAATGATTGCACATAGGCCAATAGAACTGATGGTAGTGGAAGTTTACTCACTCGCCTACGAATTCTCAGAAGGCAGCCCGACCTCCGCCCCCTTTTTCTCAGTCTTTTCTTCACGCAAATGACAGGGATTTGGGCCCGTTCCCGAGAAAGCAGTATATCCTTTGTGTCGGACTCATTAAAGAAAAGATCTTCGTCCAGTGCGAGGTGAGTAATCGCTGTTCTGATGTCCAGAAGTTATTTTCGGTCATAAGAGACAGTAGCAGCAACATTATGTACATAATAAGTTAAAAAATAAGTTACAAACAACGCGAAAAAACTAACAAAATAGCACAGTTGGTTAGGAGCCTGTAAAACTGCAGCCATCCCCTCCAGATGCCCTAGATGACATATGATAGATGCCCTAGATGACGTGATAAATGCCCTAAATGACATGTGATAGGTGCCCTAGATGACATGAGAGAGAGAGAGAGAGAGAGAGAGAGAGAGAGAGAGAGAGAGAGAGAGAGAGAGAGGTGGCTATTTTCCTGAAAGAGCAGGATAGTTGGAAACCGAGCAGAGATGGGGAATATTATAGATTAGCATCCCTGTTCCTACAGTTTATTTCCCACACTGTGACGAAGGTCAATGCATCCTATAAGCTTAGGTCAGGGAATATACTAGAGGCACAGAGTGTTTTTTCCCCCCTGAACCATGTGCGGGAAGGAGAAAAGATAGCGGCGTGGTGGTAAGTGTTTATGTGTCCATTCAACAGCTGATAGCCGTGCTCCTGAGTCTCCCAACCTGCCAGAGGAGGTATCTAGCAGCCGGGGGAAGGACGCAGCAGGCTGGAGGCAGGAGGCAGGAGCAGAGCACCACATGCCTCAGCCTCTTAGTCATACCACCACATTTGAGCCCAGGCAGTTTTTCTTTCACTAGAACCGCCTGGCCTTTCAGCCTATAAGTACATAATTCAGTTCATTGAAGTCACATGCACCATTATCCGTTTCTATCTGGTTTCTATCGCCCATTCATCCATTGACGACAGACTAGCATATTTAAATTGTACATTTATTATGTTACTAGTTTTTGCTTAGTAGTCAGACCAATACTGCTGCGCGACTGGTCATGTACTGAATGCATGGACAGCACGGATATTCTTGGGAAAAGTGACATTTGGAAATAGAGCTGCACCTCTTGAATTATGAGAGTTATTTGACAAAGGTAAGTGTAATAGAACCTGCAGAATATGCTCATCAGATTATTGTCAATTTAATCTTGTTTATAGGCTAACTCTTATTATTTGTGAAATTAGTTTCGGTATAGTTTAGGTGTAGTTTCGATGGGCCAGCTGTGCAGGCTGACTGGCATCGTTTGTTTCCCTCTCATTAAGTTAGATAGTCAAGGATATGTTTTGCATTATTCTAAAGGCCTACTGCAACACATAGCATGTTTTCGTTTCCCTTACAATACATTAGATTACTAATAGAGTTACAGTAAATAAAACAGTCCTGTAGCGTAAAATAGAATGGTATCAACATGCAAGGCGCACGGTCAAATTATTAACATGAGCGCCAACGATGATAAATAAGCATAACACAAACTCAACATTACACTATTGTTGTTCTAGATTAAATCTATATCTTCACCCTCATCATTCAGTTAGGCCTAATTTAAATTTGATTGTGAAGTAACTTGCACAATTATTGCCCATTCCATCCATTTGTCATTCATTCAGTGGGCTGGCATCGTTTGCTTCGCTGGATAGACTCAAGGATATGTTTGAATTATTCTAAAGGCCTACTGCAACAAGTAGCATGTTTTCGTTTCCCTTACAATACATTTGATTAGTAATAGAGTAATAGTAAATAAAACAGTCTCATAACAGCTTCTTTTTACAAAGTAAAACGTAAAAGAGAATGGTATCAACCCCCAAGGTGTGTGGTCAAATTATTTGCTGCTGATAAATAGGCATAACACAAACTCATCATTAATCAACCTCTTCACCCTCCTTATCATTCAGTTAGGCCTAATCATTCAGTTAGGTGCACATTTATTGCCCATTCATTAATTTGTCATTCATTCAGTGAGGAGAAAGAGAAGCATTAGCGCCTGGCTGGGTACCAACGTCCTACAGCACATTGTCTTGGCTGGTTAAGTTAGGAATAGGTGTGAAAAAAACAGGTAAAAAG